GCGCGGGCTAGGTACGGGGCCGGGCGCGGGCTAGGTACGGGGCCGGGCTTTGGGCAGGAACGGGGCCGGGCGCTGGGCTCTGAACTAGGGCCGAGGGGCCAAACAAGGGGGGCCGAGCGCGGGCTAGGTACGGGGCCGGGCGCGGGCTAGGTACGGGGCCGGGCGCTGGGCGAGGGACGGGGCCGGGCGCGGGTGTCGACGGGCCGGGGCTAGGTACGGGGCCGGGCGCGGGCTAGGTACGGGGCCGGGCGCTGGGCGAGGGACGGGGCCGGGCGCGGGCTTTGACGAGCGCGGGCTAGGGAAGGGGCCAGGCACTGTGCTAGGTACGGGGCCGGGCGCGGGTGTCGACGGGGCGCGGGCTAGGTACGGGGCCTGGCACAGGTGTCAACAGGGCGCGGGCTAGGTACGGGGCCGGGTCGCAGGCTAGGTACGGGCCGGTCGCGGGCGTCGACGGGGCGTGGGCTAGGTACGGGGCCGGGCGCGGGTGTCGACGGGGCGCGGGCTAGGTACGGGGCCGGGTCGCGGGCTAGGTACAGGCCGGTCGCGGGCGTCGACGGGGCGCGGGCTAGGTACGGGGCCGGGCGCGGGTGTCGACGGGGCGCGGGCTAGGTACGGGGCCGGGTCGCGGGCTAGGTACGGGCCGATCGCGGACTAGGTACGGGCCAGGCGCGGGCGTGAGACAGGGCCGAGTGCGGGCTAGGTACGGGCCTATCGCGGGCGAGGTACGGGCCGGGCGCGGGGCTAGGAACGAGGTAGTCGTAGTGTAGCAGGTGGTGGGCCCAAGTAACCTACTCTGATTCCATGTGAGAAAAACAAACGAGAATGAATGAACTAGCAAAGAGTCGGGTACAAGTACTAACCCTAATTGGGTTGTACCCCTTATGTGCTACCCCACTATAGCCTACACAACTGTATAAGCTATAATGTTCTGACAGGCGGAGCTCGACCGTGCACTCCACTACCTCATCAGCACCTCGACGATCGGCCTAACCTACCACAAGACCGGAACTACGACACCTAAATTAATCGGTTACGTCGATGCTTACCACGCCGGCGACTCAGACAACAGGCGATCGCGCACTGGCTACATCTACCGAATCGAAACTATCGTCCCTATTTCATGGCAGTCGAGCAAGCAAGAGCTAATTGCCCTCTCCTCAGCTGAAGCACTCTGCTCAGCCACCAAGGAAGGATTATACCTTCGCGAACTATTGGAAGAGGCAAAGCTGGCTAAGTTACCTAGCTTCTCCCTGTTCTGCGACAACCAATCGGCCTTTCGCATAGCGAACAAGAACGGGTTCGCGAATCGAACGAAGCACATCGCCATCCGATATTTATTCGTAATAGACGAAATCGAGAAGGGGAGACTTGAGCTATCCTACTGTCCCACATCCGAGATGGCAGCCGATTACTTGACCAAGAAACTCGGAAAACAGAAGTTCGAGTACTGCATGCTGCTGACTGGACAAGGCCACGTCATCAGCATCGACACTCCAGAAGCAAAGGGGAGTGTTGGAAACAAATAGTTACCGCTTCAGAAGTATCAAAGTAATAACACGAACGAAGCAGACTACAGTGAAGCAACGCGCGAGTCAACCAAGGAGGTTAAAACGTAACAGCTTGAGGTTACGCGAAGGTCAAAGGTTGATGACCTTTGACTTGACGAAATACAGCGCAACAGCAAGGACAAACAACTGACTCAGTATTGAGCAGTTGCCCGAGTCGTCACTGTATCGAGTCGCAACAGCAAAAACAGTTAATCGCACCTCTTCGTATTCCTTGTAATCATATATATATTCTTGTATCTCTTTGCTTTAATCAATTCATATTGCTCTCACATACTAATGCAAGGTGGTTCAATAGCTCAACAAGTTCATTATACGCTTCAGCAATTACAACATTTCTACTCCAGATCTTTGCCTTGAAAAGATCCTAAGGGCTTTTCTCAGCCCAACAGACGGAACATGAAACTAAAAATTGTCAAACTGTTATAATGTTTATATTGTGTAGACTGTAGTGGGGTAGCCCATAAGGGGTACAACCCAATTAGGGTTAGTACTTGTACCAACTTTCTTCTCAATGCAATCACTCCCGTTCAGTACTTTGACATGGTTTCAGAGCAGGTCCTGTTCCAAGACCGTTTTTTTTTTGCCCACCGTATAGTTCGCTGCCCGTAGCACATTACCCAGGCCGTAGCGCTACCCTACCCGTCGCGCCGCCCTGCTAGCGCCGTGCCGCCCTGCCCTGCCCGTCGCGCTGCCCTGCTTGCCGCGCGCCGCCCTTCCCTGCCCGTCGTGCCACCCTGCTAGCGCCGTCCTGATCTGCCCGTCGCGCCGCCCTGATCTGCCCGTCGCGCCGCCCTGCTGGTCGTGCGCCGCCCTCCACAGCCCGTCGCGCCGCCCTGCTGGTCACGCGCCACCCTGCTCTGCCCACTCGTTACTCCTCCCCTGCCACTGCTGCTCTCGGCCTCCTTATACTGCCCTACCTTTTTCCCGAGATGTCAGTCTTTGCCATAGTCGAGGACCTCATCACCCACCTTCGCACTAGCAACACTCGCTACCGCGCTGCCCTCAAAGCCAAGTTCCTAGACAAGAACCCGCCCTCGATGTACATCACTCTCTACTTCATAGTCACCCGCCTCCCTGACTCTCTTCGCGCAGTCAGGGACCACTTTCTCGCACTTGACCCCACAGACCTCACTGTCGACCTGCTCGAGCAGCACCTTCTTGCAGCTGAGACTAGCATAGTCACTGTAGGTGCTGCTCGTGGCACTCCTCGCACACCTTTCTTTGCGAGGTGTTCCCCCTCCCCCAATGCCCCCTCCTACGCTTCTGCTGCTGCTATTGACATCATTGGTACATAGGAGGTCGGGGCTGCTTCTGCTCCTAGTGGGAAGCGCCGCAGCAGCAAGGGCAAAGGAGGCAAGAGTGGTGGAGGTGGCAGTGGGGGTGGTGGTGGTGGAGGCGGTGGAGGTGGTGGAGGTGGCGGAGGTGGCGATGGGAGTGGTGGCAGAAGTGGGGGCTTCGGTGGCGGCGGTGATGGCAGTGGTGGGAGTGGTGGTGACGGTGGTGGTGGCAGTGGGAGTGGTGGCGGCGGCAATGGTTCCACAGGCACCTACGTCGACGAGGTTCCCCCACGGCGCATGCAGCAGCAGCAACAGCTGGAGCAACAGCAACAGCAACAGCAACAGCAACAGCAACAGCAACAGCAACAGCAGCAGCAACAGCAACAGCAACAGCAACAGCAACCGCAGCAGCAACAGCAGCAACAGCAGCAGCAACAGCAACAGCAACAGCAACAGCAACAGCAACAGCAGTCTCAGCAGCAACAACAGCAACAGCAGCAGCGACAGCAACAGCAGCAGCAGCAGCAGCAACAGCATCAGCAGCAACAGCAGCAGCAGCTGCAGCAGCAACAGCTGCAACAACAGCAGCAGCAACAGCAGTCACAGCAGCAGCAACAGCAGAAACAGCAACAGCAGCAACAGCAGCAACAACAGCAACAGCAGCAGCAACAACAACAGCAGGAGCAACGGCAGCAGCCACACCAACGGCAGCAACAAGGTTTGGATTCCCAAGTCAGATCGCCTGCTTCTGTCAAAGTCGGTAGGCCGGTAGAGGGATCGATAGTATCACACCAGGTACAGTCACCTCCTGCTCTGCCTCTCTCCCCTCCGCAACTGCTCACCCGGTCAAGGAGAGAAGCCGCTGCTGCTGCTACTGCTGCTGCTGCTGCTGCCGCCGCATCAGGAGCAGCAGCACCAGCAGCAGCAGCAAGGGAAGCTGTAGCGGCTACAGCTTCTGTGGCAGAAGCAGGGAGGTCTGTAGCTGAAGTGAAGATAGAGAGAGTGAGCAAAAGAAGCATCAATACTTACAGTCGAATCCAGTCTCGCCCCCCCGCTATTGCTGACCTGGCATCACGTGATCACACATCGCTATCTGACGGCTCTGAGTCGGCTGCTGACGTGGCAGCTGACGTGGCAGCAGCTGCTGATGCCACATCAGCACGCCCGAGAGCGCGCTCTGCTGTGCCGCTACCTCCACGGGCCAAGCTTCCTCGGGCGGCAAAGTCGAACCGCGTCGGGACCGTTGAGCTCATCAGCGGTAGAGTGTCCACGTCAGCAGCTCACCTGCCAGCTCAGACCTCCGTTTCGCCAGCTCAGGCGTCGTCCTCGCCACCTCAGAGACGCTTGGGATTGAAGCAGGTGAATCTGAAGGAGAGAGTGAGGGTGGATAGGGCAGCAGAGGCTAGGGTTCGGGAGGTGGGAGTGAGATACGCTGCTGTAGCAGATGTGGGCTTCAGAAGTGGTGGTGCTGGGGGCGTTGGGGGAGGGGTTGTTGGTGTTGACGGTGTTGCGGGAGGGGGCGTTGGGGGGAGCGAAGTTGGGGGTGCTGGTGGTAGTGGTGGTGGGGTTTCTGGTGCCATGGCCACCACATATGTGGATGACTCTGCTGCTGGTGTTGGCACAGGCTTGAAAGGTGCCGATGTCACTGCTGTTGGTGATCATGGCACAGACGTTCAAGATGCAACCAATGCAGCAGCTGCTGCTGGTGGTGGTGGTGGCGGCAGTGGTGGTGGTGGGGGTGGTGGCGGTGGCACAGGCATTACAGGTGCTGATAACTGTGCTGATGTGGTTGCTGCTGCTGGTTGTGGTGGCGGTGGTGCTGGTGGTAGTGGCAATGCAAACATTACACCTGTGGATTCGGGCAGCACTGTTGTCAATGGTTTAGTAGGGTTACACAATGATGACTCTGTCAGAGGCCCGACTAGCGGTAATGTGGACAGTAGAAACTTCACTGGTGGTGGTGGTGACGGGGGTGTTAGAGACGTGAATGGTCGTGGCAGTGGTATCAGAGGCGCGGAGTTTTCTGGCCAAGGTATCAGAGACATGAGTTCTGCCGTCCAGGGCGTCACAGTCGTCAACTCTGTCAATGAGGGCGGTAGGGGTGCCGATTCTGCCATCCAGGAGGGTAGAGGCGCGGATTCTCGGGACTGGACAGGTGGGGATAGGCTGGGTGAAGTGAACGCTCTTGCGGCGCATGAAAAGGCAGATGTGAAGGCTTGGACAGGTGCGGGTAAGAGGACTGATGTGAAGCCTTTTGAGACACCTCAGGGAGCGGATTCTCTGGCCTGGACTGCAGCAGGTAAGTGGGCGGAGGTGCAATGGAGTGCTGAAGACGAGAGGTGTCTGCTTGCCGCTACTCAAGAGTTGGATGGAGATTTTGGGGGCGAATTGAGTGGTTTAGGAGAGGGTTTGGGAGAGGGTTTTGATGGGGATTTGGAAGGGTGTTTGGGTCAAGATTTAGGGGATTTTGGGTTTGGGGAGGCGGATTTTCTTGACTTGCCTTGGGCAGATGTGGTTGTTCCGGGTGTGGCTGTGGCGAATGGTGCCGCTGCTACAAGTGTGACTGAATTGCCAGGTACTGCTGCTTCTCATGATGTGACTATGGCACAGGAGGCTGTCACAGGTGTGACTGTATTAAATGTGACTGGAACGCAGGTTTCTGCTTCTCATGATGTGATTGTGGCACAGGGGGCTGTCACGGCTGCAGCTGCTGTGAATGTGACTCTAGCAGGTGTGGCTGTAGTACAGGGGCCAGATACAGATGTGACTGCTGTGAATGTGGCAGTAGCAGGTGCGGAGGAGGCACAGGGGGCTGCTAATGGTGCTGTGGCTGTGACTGTAACGGGTGTAACTTCAGAGGACCTTAGTTCAATGGCAGGGGCAGAAGCAGCAGGCACCTACGTCGAGGAGGTTCCCCCACCTGGGGCGAACATAGTCGATGGCATGTGGATCTTCAGGGTGAAGCGGCCGCCGGTTTCTCCGCCTGCCTTCAAGGCACATTACGTTGCTAGAGGCTTCAGTCAGCGACAGGGAGGTGACTACTTCCAGACCTTCTCCCCCACCCCGAAGATGACTACTCTTCGGGTGTTGCTGCACATCGCTGCTCAGCATGACTACGAGTTGCACTCTCTGGAATTCAGCACTGCTTTCCTGCAAGGCAGCCTGCACGAGGAGATCTGGTTGTGCAGCCCACCTGGTTTCACGGAGTCTTTTCCTGGAGGTACTTAGTGGAGTCTTCGGTGGCTAGTCTACGGTCTCCGTAAGGCGCCTCGCGAGTGGCACAACACACTGAGGATTACACTTGCGGCTCTTGGGTTTGCTCGTGCTACTGCTGACCCTTCGCTGTTTCTATGCACCGGCACCTCGCTGCCGCCATTCTACGTTCTCGTCTACGTCGACGACCTCGTCTTTGCCACTGCTGACACTGAGGCACTGACCCTTGTGAAGTCGGAGCTGCAAAAGAGACACTCCTGCACTGGCCTGGGTGAGCTGCGCATCTTTCTTGGCTTGCAGATCACCCGGGACAGAGCTCGGCGCACCATTGCTCTGACTCAGTCACACATGGTGCACCAGGTCCTTCAGCGCTTCGGCTTCCAGTTCTCCTCGCCACATCCCACTCCTCTGTCTACCGGCCACTCGCTCTCAGCTCCACCTTTGGACGAGTCCGTAGAGCCGAGTGGTCCGTACCCAGAGCTTGTGGGTTGCCTCATGTAACTGATGACGTGCACTCGACCCGACCTCGCGTACCCTCTCAGCCTCCTGGCTCGCTACGTGGCTCCCGGCAGGCACCAAAAGGTGCACTGGGATGCTGCGAAGAGGGTATTGCGTTACTTGTGCAGTGCGTCGGGCATGGGGCTCGTGCTTGGAGGACGGGGTCCAGTTGTCCTCACCGGTCACGCAGACTCTTCCTGGGTTGACGACTCAGCTACGCAGCGGTCGTCACAGGGTTACACCTTCAGCCTTGGCTCTGGCTCTGTCTCCTGGCGGTCTACCCGCTCGTCTTCGGTTCTCAGCTCCAGTTGTGAGGTTGAGATCTACGCTTGGGCCATGGCTGCACAGGAGCTATGCTGGCTCACCTACCTGCTGACTGACTTGGGAGAGCAGCCTCGTTCGCCTCCAGTTCTGTACGTAGACAACAAGGCCATGATTGCCTTGTGTTAGGAGCACAGACTGGAGCACAGAACGAAGCACATCGCTCTGCGATACTTCCTTGCTCGAGAGTTGCAGCAGCGTGGCCAGCTTCGTCTTGCGTATGTGGCCACTAGGGCCAACACTGCTGATATATTCACCAAGGCACTTCCGCCTGGTGATCATCAGCGTTTCTCTACTGTGTTAGGCCTTGTGCCGACTTTTCCTCACTTGCTTACTGCGTGACTTTGCTTGTACTGTGATCTATATATATACGTGCATGCTTGCACTTGCTAGGGTATGATCACTGTATTGTTTTTTTTTTCTTCTCTTTTATATATAACTCTGCATGTGAACTGGCCGTGTGGCCCTATGCTTGTGCTCGAACTGTGTGGTGACTTTGTGATCCACCCTGAGCTTGCTTTGCTTTTCATGACTGGTCTTGTGACCACTTGTTCTCCCCCACTTTGCCTATGGGGGTGTGTCAGAACATTATAGCTTATACATTTGTGTAGGCTGTAGTGGGGTAGCCCATAAGGAGTACAACCCAATTAGGGTTAGTACTTGTACCCAACTTCTGTTCAATGCATTCATTCTCGTTTGTTATTTTAACAGACACCCTTCGACGGAAAAGACTTCTATACCTAGTCATTCGAGTTTGAGCTAATGATGGAAGGCACGCAGATTCTCGGATTCTTCGACGGGTCCCTGCCATACCCAATACACGGGACGCAGTACGACAAGCAGCAGCACACATATCAGTCGCTGATGGCGTACACAATACTTCTACGAAATATAACGCCAAACGAGCAGCAGAACATTTGGTACGCGAGTCGTGGCTAGTCGAACGAGCTCAACATCCTGTCGCGTCGCGAAAGCGGAGGCGGGAAAAGGGAGCGAGATTGAGGCGGGGAGGGAGGTGGAGAAGGAGGAGGGAGCAGCGGGGAGATTAAGGGTCGCCGTGATATGCGGAGGGCCGTCTGAGGAACGCGGAATTTCGCTTAACTCGGCGCGGTCCGTGGTGGATCACCTCGAAGCGCGTGACGTGGAGATTAAGACGTACTATGTCGACCCGTTCTCAAGAGTCTTCGCCATTCCGACCACCCAGGTACTATTTGCCCTTCCGTCCCTCCCCAGGTAGGTAGCACCATTTGAAATTTCTCATTGGTATTCGAGATGTATTCCAACACGCCTGCCGATTTCGATTTCAAGCTGCTCATCCGCACTCCCCTCCCTTTCCCGCCGCCTCACCTCATTGCTGTCCCCTTGCTGTTGCCCCCTCCAGTTCCCCCTCAGATGTATTTCAACACGCCTGCCCCACGTTGACTTCAACTCTAAGCGCCCCGTCCCTTCTCTCCCTCCCTTTCCCTTTACTTTCGTCTCACGCCGTTGCTATCGTCGCACCTCCCTCAGATGTATTCCAACACGCCTGCCGATTTCAACTTCCATTTCAACCGCCCTCCACCCCTTTTTCTTCTGTGGCTTCCCCCCGTGATCCCTTCCCTTTCAGATGTATTCCAACACGCCTGCTGATTTCGACTTCAACTCTTAACGCTCCATCCGCTTTCCCTCCCCCCCCCCCCTTCCCTTCTGCTGCCCCTCCCTCAGATGTATTCCAACACGCCTGCTGATTTCGACTTTAAGCTTCGCAGGTACTGGCCTGTCCCTTCAGAGCACGTTCTTGGAAGTTTCATGGCCACCTCCTTTACGAGATGCGTGCATTGATGCCTCTTTCCTTCCTAGAAGCTGCAAGGATGCTTCCCTTCCTCCCCCTTCGGATCTGCAATTTGCACAGTTCGCTTCACACTCCCGAATGACCAAGTACGTTGGCCGTTCGGCCGTCTACTACTGTGGTTCGAGGAGGGAAGCAACTCCCGATGTCTGGTCAGAACAGATTCTATACTGTGGTTCTGAACATATTCTCCCATTTACAGTCTGTCCTTTTAAGAATGGCATCGCCCTTCCGATCGCTCACACCTGCCCAACCCTCTTTCGCCAACCCCACCCCCCTGTCCCTCCTTCCATCCCCTCCTCCCCCTTTTCCAGCATGGCATCACCCTTCCCGTCCCTGTCTGCATTCGCAGCACACCTGTCACACGAAGTTGACATCATGTTTCCGGTTATCCACGGAAAATTTGGGGAGGATGGGGGCATACAGGTGAGGGAGCTTCTGTCCGTTATTGCTATGTAACCACGCTTTCTCTACACCTGTCGCGAAGTGGACATCGTGTTTCCGGTCATCCACAGGAAATTTGGAGAAGATGGGGGCATACATGTGAGGGAGCATGTATATGACTCTCAATTTAATATGGTGCACCGTGCTACATGCAGCGGACAACACATCTGTCACATGCTGTTGACATTGTGTTTCCGTTCATCCATGAGAAATTTGGCGAGGATTGGGGCATACAGGTGAGGGGACATGGGGTGAAGGAATGAGATAAGGAACTGGGTGAGGGGCACAATTGCTGACATTCGCGGCACACCTGTCACACGAAGTTGACATTGTGTTTCCAGTTATCCACGGGAAATTTGGGGACGATGGGGGAATACAGGTGAGAGATTATAGGGGGAAGGAATGAGATAAGGAACTTGGAAAGGGGCATGGTGTGGAGATGGGTAAACGGGGAGAGCATTGGAAACGAGTTGACTCTAAACCCTACACCCTCCTCTTCCCTTCGTCATCCCCCCTCCCCTCCCCCCCTGCCAGGCACTGTTGGAGCAGCATAGCATTCCCTTTGTCGGCACCTCTGCTGCTGCTGCTGCTGATTTCTTAGCACTCAACTCACAACCTTCCCACCCTCTCTCCCTGCCAGGCACTGTTGGAGCAGCATAACATTCCCTTTGTTGGCACTTCCTCTGCTGCAGCAAGCAATGCATTTGACAAGGTGGGTGGGTGGGCGGGTGGGTGGGCGATTGGGTGGGTGGGTGAGTGGGGGAGCTTGTGTAGTGGCTACTGTCTCACGGATACAGAAGCAGCACGGCGTTCCCTTTGTCATCACTGTTGTAACAAGGCAACTTTATAGACGACTCAAAAGTCACCTCTCTTGTGGAGTGGCTACCGTCTCTCCACGGATACAGCAACAGCATGGCATTCCATTTGTCGGCACCTCTTCTGCTGCTGCCCGCAACGCATTTGACAAGGTGGGTGGTTGGTCGGGCAGGCAGGCGAGTGGGTGGGTGGGTGGGTGAGGTAGCTTGTGGCGCAGGTGGTACTGTCTCATCACGGATATAACAGCAGCATGGCATTCCCTTTGTCGGCACCTCCTCTGCTGCTGCCCGCAAAGCATTTGACAAGGTGGGTGGGGTGGTGGGTGCGTGGGAGGGTGCGTGGTTGGGTGGGTGGTGGGTGGGTGGGTGGGTGATCGGGCAGGCAGGCGAGCGAGTGGGTGGGTGGGTGATCGGGCAGGCAGGCGAGTGAGTGGGTGGGTGGGTGATCGGGCGGGTAGGCGAGTGAGTGGGTGGGTGGCCTCCATTTGAATTGAACATTTTCCCACTGTCTTGAAAAATAACATGGTTATTCTTTCACAAACTAGGTAACATGTTATGAAAAGAGTGGCATCACATGTGTGTAGCCCAGCTAGAGAAAATCATACGGAAAAGCAAAGGTCTTAGGCTCAAATCTCTAAAGGTGGGTGGGTGGGTGGGTGGGTGATCGGGCAGGCAGGCGAGTGAGTGGGTGGGTGGGTGATCGGGCGGGTGAGTGAGTGGGTGGGTGGCCTCCATTTGAATTGAACATTTTCCCACTGTCTTGAAAAATAACATGGTTATTCTTTCACAAACTAGGTAACATGTTATGAAAAGATTGGCATCACATGTGTGTAGCCCAGCTAGAGAAAATCATACGGAAAAGCAAAGGTCTCTAAAGGTGGGTGGGTGGGTGGGTGGGTGGGTGGGTGGGTGGTGGGTGGGTGGGTGGGTGATCGGGCAGGCAGGCGAGTGAGTGGGTGGGTGGGTGATCGGGCGGGTAGGCGAGTGAGTGGGTGGGTGGCCTCCATTTGAATTGAACATTTTCCCACTGTCTTGAAAAATAACATGGTTATTCTTTCACAAACTAGGTAACATGTTATGAAAAGAGTGGCATCACATGTGTGTAGCCCAGATAGAGAAAATCATACGGAAAAGCAAAGGTCTTAGGCTCAAATCTCTAAAGGTGGGTGGGTGGGTGGGTGGGTGATCGGGCAGGCAGGCGAGTGAGTGGGTGGGTGGGTGGGTGATCGGGCGGGTAGGCGAGTGAGTGGGTGGGTGGCCTCCATTTGAATTGAACATTTTCCCACTGTCTTGAAAAATAACATGGTTATTCTTTCACAAACTAGGTAACATGTTATGAAAAGAGTGGCATCACATGTGTGTAGGCATGAGCAAAGGGCGAACTCGAACATGTTCGAGTTCGCCCACCCTCGAACATGTACTTTTGCCGAACCGAACACTGTTCGGTTCGGCGAACTATTTAGCTGAAAGTTTGTGTTCGCCGTTCGCCCTATGTGGCGAACGATTTTTTTCAGCAGGCGAACACGAACATGTTCGAGACGAACATGTTCGTGTTCGCCCTGGGGAAAATTCACTATAGTCACACATGTCAGAAAACAGTTTTCAAGGTTCAGGATGATAGCAAAATGTGTGCAGGGTGTATATGTGTGCATGCAACGAACCCAATAGTACAACATCACATACTATGAAGGGAAATGTCAAAGTCTAACAAATTCCTACACTAAGTGACTAAGGCGCCACTGCACTGCTACTACCAACAACAGCATCCTCTCCACCAGCTGTGTCGTCAGCCTCCACACCCTCCTCCTCCTCCTCCTCGTCATCCTCCTCTGCCCCCTCGCCCTCAATGGCGAACTCTGGTGGTGCGACGCCTCTCGGTCGGCGGCCCTCGCCTATCCTCTGGCCAGGGTGTGAACTGTACCATGATCTGAGAATCATGACAGCTCGCGTCCTCTGAGAGGCCAGGCGGTGCCGCTTCCAGGAAATGAGGTTGCGACCAAGGGAGAACACCCGCTCACTCGAAGCGGACGTGGCAGGGATGGCGAGATAATCCCGGGCCATGCGCCTCAGCGTCTGCATGTTGGTGGCACTGCGCCAGTACTCTAGCGCTGTCACGTCGCACCGCACCCTCTCGGACAAGTACCTGCTAACCTCGTCGTCCTGCACCATCCCACCCGCCCCCGCATCCTGGCTCGCCGACAGACGCGCCGCAAGTCGTCGGCGACTAGGGAGAAACTGCGCGTCATCGTCGTCCTCCTCCTCGTCTCCCTCCTCCTCCTCCGCAACGGGGGCAAGTGGGGTCGGCCGTGGAGCAAGCTCTGCAGCCCGGGCCTGGTACTCGGCCATGCGGTCGCGCACCAGCTTGATCACCTCGCCAGACGCCGGACGCGGCCTCACCCTCCTGTCGGTCTCGGGATGCAGCTTCTCCCAGTGCGCATCGTCGAACCACGCCGCCTTCATGGAAGGGTCCAAGAAGGTGGCGATCCAGTACTCGTTGCTGGTGATGTACGCGTACTTCTTCATGTGGCTCAGCGCCGCCACGATCATCGGCTGCAGCGTCGGAGATGGCCCCTAGGCGCGACTCCATGGCGTCGATCAGGCCGTTGTAGTACGGCACCACCATCGACACAGTCGGGTACGCCGCCCCCTCTGCTGCCTTGGAGACCTTGGCGAAGGGGCTTAGGAATGTCTTCACCGCCTGCAGGGTCTCCCAGTCTGCGTCTGTCAGGCGCAAACTCTCCACCTTCTTCTTGTCGGTCTTCGACAAGCCCTGTCGGGTAGAGGGAATGGTTTGGGGGGAGGTATGAGGGAAACTGTGATTATGGAGGAGGATTATGGCATCCGGCCGGCAACATACAAGCATGACCAACAGTATTGTGTAGACGTGCTAACACACCACACCATGACATAACCACACACTACAACCCACACAAAACACAAGTGTTACCTGTGTCTGGGCGAAGAAGACAGTGATGGGGTTCTGCAGAACACCCGCACGCTCGACCATGTCGTGGGTCGACCCCCAGCGCGTAGGACTGTCCTGCACCAGCTTCAACGCCGGCTTCGGCGTGGCGGGGTTGGCCTGCGAGTTCAAGGTCCGCTGTAGGCCCAAGAAAGACCCCGAGCGCTGTGGAGAGAAGCCAATCCACGACGCCATCTCTCTCAGTATCTTCAGCAACTTCCGTATGGAATCCACAGCCAGTGCTGCCTGCACTGCAAGGTTTATCACGTGTGCCAAGCACCTGCGCACGGAACACAACATTGGGAAAAAGATAAGGGGAAGTTGGAGGACACATTGTTAGAGTGAGCCACAAACCCATACCAGACCCCACACACCCTACAACTCGAACCGCACCGGCCCACCCCTCCATACAACTACAAATTGTCCATGCTGGAACGACACACCACAAAGGCAAACACACGCCCACACTCCCACACACCCAACCCACGCCACGCACACTCCCACACTCACCGGAAGTGCATGCGCGAGTTGAAGAAGCACTGACCACCACCCTCCTCCGACATCCGCCTGAAGGCAGCAATGTTGCTAGAGGCGTTGTCTGTCGTGAAACCAAGACAACGCCCCTCCAACCCCCACTGCACAATCGTCTCCTCAACCACCTGCGCCATCTCCCTGCCCCCATGCCGCCCAAGCATCTCACGGAACTCAAGCACCATTGTGCGCAGCTGGAAGTTCTCGTCTATCCAGTGACCAGTCACCACTAGCCATGCCTTGTTGTTGGGTGCCGTCCACATGTCGATGGTGATCGACACCTTGCACCCCAACCCCCCCTCCTTCGCCAGCATCTCCGCAATGGCGGACTGAAGAGCTGCTGTTGCATAGACCACAGTGTCGCGGGATACCGTCCACCGCGAGGGGATGAAGTTCTTCTGTGCGCAGTTGCGGTTTAGCAGGATCAATAGCTCCCGAAACTGGAGGAGGGTAGAGTAGAGACAACTGTGAATGGTGGATATCCGGTGGACATGTGAATGGTGGACATGTGAATGGTGGACATGTGAATGATGGACATGTGAATGATGGACATGTGAATGGTGGACATGTGAGTGAATGGTGGACATGCGAATGGTGGTGGACATGTGAATGGTGGACATGTGAATGGTGGACATGTGAATGGTGGATTACAATAGAAGCATGAAATAGTCAACCACATATTGCCAAAACACCAGGCATGGGACACTCACGGCCTCGGACTCGACGATGCGGAAGGGGAGGTCGCAGGTGACCACCAGCTTGGCGATCGCCTGCCGTAGCTCCTCCGTGGACAGCTTGGTTGTCATGAACCGCTCCATCCCGCCTGACCCCCGAGCTCCACCAGACGCCGTCCCTTTCTTCTTGGTGAGATGCGGCCAAGACTTGGCATGCGGCCACCCATCGACGTAGCCATCTGGCACACCCTTGTAGCCCCCACGAGGAAACGTCTCCCCAGGCAAGTGAACGGACGGAGTGTGGTAACGGTGATGCCACACGTGCATGTGCGCTGTGTGGTAGCTCTCGAAGTGCCGCTCGCCGGGTGTTGTTGTGGATTGCTTCCACGAAATCCTGTCAGTGCAAATCTTGCACTGACGCTTCTCGTCTGCCCCTTTAGGCCCGAACATCTGTACTTGCCACCCCGGTTTCTTATTACCCTTGCCAGTCCCCTTACTACTCTCGGACCCTCCGTCCTCGTCTAGGAACTCCGGAGCGACCACACCCTCGCCCAAGGGCTTCCCAGTGAATGTGCAGGGATATGCTCGCTCCCTCAACTTGCTCGCCCTCTTCCTCCGCTTCGGCATCCTAATGGATGCCCGCTTTATCCCCACCTTAACCCCCACGCTCCCTCCTCCTTCAGCCACATGCTGTGAGGCCGCCTCTGTCGCCGCCCCTCCACCACCCTCTCCCACCCCCTCCTCCACCTCCTCTGGCTCCAACCCATCCATCTCATGGTCCTCCTCATCATCCCCCCCTTTCCCACCGCCATGCGTCTCGGGATCCCACCCGGCCTCACTGTCATCCCCGCTCCCCTCATCGTCCTCATCCTCCTCGCCCTCACCCTCCTCCTCCTCATCCTCCTCCCCACTGCCACTCTCCGGCTGCGTCTGCCCAGAAGGAGGGGGTCGCGGGCCTGAGTAACGGAACGAGTGACGGGACGTCGGCGCCGCTACGGAAAGAAATCCCCCGACGAAACAAGCGCCGGCTCCTGCAGGTCCATCCCCTACTCGCCCCTGCATAGGTCGTGGTGGAGACCTTGGTGTACCGCCCTGAGCGCTGCCTGCACCTCGTTCTACAGATCCATGTTGGCCGGAAGCCATAACTCCGCCCTCGGCCTTAAAACCCTAAAACCCCAAAGTAACGGTCGCAAGCCACGGATAGCACGGTCCTAATTGAACTCCTAGTTACGTGTGGCACGGAGAAATGCCCGCCCCTACAACTAGAGAATTGTCCTCTACAAGCTTGATCCCGTAGCTACCAACCCTTAGTGTTTCTGAAACTACCCTATACTATTAACTACTTAGATGAAATGTCAGTGTAAAAGTTAAGGAACGGTGTGCGATGGCTCTTAAAACCGCAAGGCTATGGCGGTTGTGGGAGGGAGGGCTAAGCGCCAAAGACGTTTTGAGTTTGAGCTCAAGAAATGAGCTCAAACTCAAAACAGCCGCGACCTAAATTTGGTCGCGGCCAAATTTGACGCGAACACTTTGGTGTTCGCGTCAACCACTGGACGAACACGAACATGTTCGTGTTCGTCCACACTCCACCAAATGGAGGTGGCGAACGGCGAACATGTAGCCGCGACCTAAATTTGGTCGCGGCCAAATTTGACGCGAACACTTTGGTGTTCGCGTCAACCACTGGACGAACACGAACATGTTCGTGTTCGTCCACACTCCACCAAATGGAGGTGGCGAACGGCGAACATGTTCGGCCGAACACCGAACATGTTCGCGTCGAACTATTTTTTTATAAAAAAAAAAGTTCGAGGCGAACCGAACAGGTGTTCGAGATGTTGCTCATGTCTACATGTGTGTAGCCCAGCTAGAGAAAATCATACGGAAAAGCAAAGGTCTTAGGCTCAAATCTCTAAAGGCCCGCCAGCCCGCCGCCCGCCAGCCCGCTAGCTGTTAGGGTCACAGATGCAAATGACTGATTTGGTCTTGCACCCTCCTCGCCCTCGCCTTTACTTGGTTGTTGCCACGAATCGTTTCTTACCCTTGCCTCCTCCTTCCCCTCCTTTTCTTGTGGCATCTTGAAGATGTTTTACATTCCTCCTCCCCCTCCCACCCAGGTGTTTCCTGCAGTATGCGTGTCTTGAATTAAGGCATCTCAAATCCCCCCTCCTCTCCTTTCCCTGGTGTTTCCTGCAGTATGCGTGTCTTGAATTAAGGCATCTCAAATCCCCCCTCCTCTCCTTTCCCTGGTGTTTCCTGCAGTATGCGTGTCTTGAATTAAGGCATCTCAAATCCCCCCTCCTCTCCTTTCCCTGGTGTTTCCTGCAGTATGCGTGTCTTGAATTAAGGCATCTCAAATCCCCCCTCCTCTCCTTTCCCTGGTGTTTCCTGCAGTATGCGTGTCTTGAATTAAGGCATCTCAAATCCCCCCTCCTCTCCTTTCCCTGGTGTTTCCTGCAGTATGCGTGTCTTGAATTAAGGCATCTCAAATCCCCCCTCCTCTCCTTTCCCTGGTGTTTCCTGCAGTATGCGTGTCTTGAATTAAGGCATCTCAAATCCCCCCTCCTCTCCTTTCCCTGGTGTTTCCTGCAGTATGCGTGTCTTGAATTAAGGCATCTCAAATCCCCCCTCCTCTCCTTTCCCTGGTGTTTCCTGCAGTATGCGTGTCTTGAATTAAGGCATCTCAAATCCCCCCTCCTCTCCTTTCCCTGGTGTTTCCTGCAGTATGCGTGTCTTGAATTAAGGCATCTCAAATCCCCCCTCCTCTCCTTTCACTGGTGTTTCCTGCAGTATGCGTGTCTTGAATTAAGGCATCTCAAATCCCCCCTCCTCTCCTTTCCCTGGTGTTTCCTGCAGTATGCGTGTCTTGAATTAAGGCATCTCAAATCCCCCCTCCTCTCCTTTCCCTGGTGTTTCCTGCAGTATGCGTGTCTTGAATTAAGGCATCTCAAATCCCCCCTCCTCTCCTTTCCCTGGTGTTTCCTGCAGTATGCGTGTCTTGAATTAAGGCATCTCAAATCCCCCCTCCTCTCCTTTCCCTGGTGTTTCCTGCAGTATGCGTGTCTTGAATTAAGGCATCTCAAATCCCCCCTCCTCTCCTTTCCCTGGTGTTTCCTGCAGTATGCGTGTCTTGAATTAAGGCATCTCAAATCCCCCCTCCTCTCCTTTCCCTGGTGTTTCCTGCAGTATGCGTGCGCACAGCACATGAAACACTGCGGCTTCCCCACCCTCCCATCCTTTCTCATCCAGGTTCGTCTCTTAACTAAAAGCCAGCCCCTTAGGTAAGAACACAACCTCTATCAGGGCCGTTATATAATTGTATCAGGTAAGCATTTGCTCTGCTCCCATTGAAATGAGAGCCTCTCAATACTGAAATCACTTTTGAGAATTCTCAATACTTTTAATAATTCTCAATACTAGCATTTTAATTTGAAAGGGCTGTTCAGTATGCTGTGTCTTGCTATTTCAGTGTAGTCACGCTCTCAGTTCCCACGCAGTTGAAAGCATGGCAAGAGTTGCTCTGTGTAGTGTTGAGGCGCCTCAAATCTATATTTTGCTAGTTCAGTAGTTGTAACCACGCTCTTAGTTACCACGCAGTTGAAAGCATGGCAAGCGTGGGCGGCTCTGTGCGAATTCAGGCTGGGGTGAATGACAACAATGGTGACGTGGCGCTTGCTGATTGGTTCACCTCCAACGGACTCTCACCAGAAACCGGCTCTGTTGTGGTAGGCCTCCCTCTCTCCCAAAACCCGGCTTCATTCCGTTTCTTCTTTCGTTCTCTCTACCAGCCTCCATTCTGTTCTCTCGACCACCTAGAAATAGGCACCGGCTTTGTCGTGGTGGCCCCCTCTCTCCGTTCCGTTTCTCTTTGTTTCCTGCTGTACCGTTTCCTGCTAGTTCCGTTTCTCTCCGCTAAGTACTAACTTACCTAAGTTCCACTGGTGTGACTCGGGGTTGTACTGCAGGTGAAGCCAGCTCGAGCTGGGTCGAGTGTCGGTGTCTCTGTGTGTTCTGGTGCGAGGGAAGCTTCCTAGAAGGCTCACGAGCTGATATCTGAGGTTTGCTGGTTCGACCCACTTACTGATTCTAGCAGTCCTGGCCCTTTCGTCGCTCTTGGCACGCTCTTTTTTCAAACTGGCTCTCTAAGAAAACGCTCTAGCTCGCTGTAAGGTGTTTTTGAGAATTCTCAAAAACACCCTTTTTTCAAACTGGCTCTCTAATTCAATGCTCTAGCTCGCTGTAAAGAGGCAACTTTTGAGTCGACTCAAAGTCACCTGGCTCTCTAAGCAAACGCTCTAGCTCGCTGTAAACCAGGCTCCTTCCATCCATTCACCCAATCCATGGGGTTTGTTTCGTCGTTCTAAGAACCACACAAGTGGATGAAAGGTAGGCCTCCACTCCACAGCCCACCTGTCCGTTACTGACAGCTCCTGGCCCTTTCATCGCTCTTGACACGATTTTTTTTTCAGTTTTTTTTCCTGTGAGGTGTACGTTGGTCATTTTCTCTTGTTTTTGCTTCTTCTTTTGACTGTTGTTTGCGTAGAATCTTCTCCTTATATTAAGCTAAACTTTCCAGGCTGGTTTCTGACCCACTCAATAATTCCATTTATCTGTTTTTTTCTCTTTTTTTCCTTTCCTTTCTATGTCAATTGCATAGGATATTCTCCTTCTTTAAAGCTAAACTTTCTAGGCTGGCTGTCTGCTTCTGCCCTCTCTCTCCTCTCCCCTAACGCTTGCAGACCTGCTTCCTCTCCATTGCCCCCTGTCTGTCCCTGGCCCCTTCTAGGGTGTAGACAATCGAGTGGTGGTGGAGCTATTCGCAGCAGGAGGCAAGGAGTTCGCCGCCATTGTGCTGGAGTCAACCCCATGCCCCTTGTCCCAATGCTTCTTCTCCCTCCTCTCCCGCCTCTCCCGTCCTTTCTCCTCTCCCTCCTCCTCCCCTTCATCTGTCGCCCCTCCCCATCCCAGGGTGTGGACGATCGGGTGGTGGTCGAGGTTTTTGCAGCAGGTGGCAAGGAGTTCACCGCCATTGTGTTGGAGTCATCAGCAAAAGCAGAAGCAGCTGGGAATGGCACCCGCGGTGCAGTGTGCCTGATCCCCACGCAGGTGAGTTTAGAGTGCAGTGCGGCAGGGGGGGAAGAGGTAAGTACATAAATCACCTCATGGCAGGAGGAGCCAAGGCGTTCATTGCCACTGTGTTAGAGGCGGCAGCAGCAGGTGGGGTCTGGTGTTTGACTCGACCATCGAAAGCAGCTTGCTCTCCAAATTACCTGCAAATTCTCTCACCTTCCCGTGTCTTGCCACACCCCACCACGCCAGGTGGAGTTGACAGCTTTTGCTTCTTCTCCTGCCACGGCAGCAGCAGCAGGATCGGAAGGCGCTGATTCTGACAGTGACAGCAGTGGGGATATCTTCGACTATCGACGGAAATACCTTCCCACTCAGTAGGTAGTTTTCCAGTTGCCCTGCCCTATCTCGTCTCCCGCATTTCCCCTTTCCCTTTCGTTACCTTCTTCTCCATTCTCCCCTCTCCCCCTCACTCTCCCCACACGTCCTTCTCTCCATGCCTCCTCGTTTCCCAGCTTCCATCCTCTCCTCTCCCTCCTCTTGTTTTCCTTCTCCCCTCCCTTGCTTGCCCCCCTCGTCTCCTCTCCCCCTCCTCTTCCTCCCCCACCAAAGAGGTTCTCTACTCCACGCCGCCTCGCTTCCCCCCCTCCATCCTCGCCTCCCTCCGTGCCTCAGCCACTCGCCACTTCTCCTCCCTCTCCCTCCGAGACTGCGCCCGCCTCGACAGATGGTTCCTCTTGCTCTCTGCCTTACCCCTCCCTACCTACCTCCCCAAGCCAGCCTCCTTCCCACGCTCGTCCCTGTATATTCCCCCATACCCAGTTTTGTCTGTCTTGCCCCCCTCTCTCCCCCCCTCCAACACAGGTTCTCTACTCCACGCCGCCTCGCTTCCCCCCCGCCATCCTCGCCTCCCTCCGCGCCTCAGCCACGCACCTCTTCTCCTCCCTCTCCCTCCGCGACTGCGCCCGCCTCGACGGATGGTTCCTCCCACCTTCCTCCCCGGCTTACACCCGCGTGCTGGCGGGGCTAAGGGCTAGTAGCAGATTAAGAGGCGGCAGCAAAGGGGAGAACGATGAGGGGGATAAAGAGGCAGCTAATAACGAGGATAACCAGGAGGGGGAGGAGTATAAGGAGGGGATCGTGGTTTTTTCGGATGTGAATATTGTTAGCGGGATGGAGCAGACCTCGTTTCTCTTCCAGCAGGCTGCGTTGGTGAGCGTTCCTACTTCCTCGCTCAGTATTGTTATATTTCATATGCTAATATCGAGTACAGTGTCTCTGGATGTCAATATCGTTAGCCTGCTCCAGATGCCGCCTTCCCCTTCCACGTGTGTCAGATCAGAACACAATCCACACTGTTTCCTCTCTAAGCCCTAACTGCCTGGAGGTTGAACTGTCTCATTCACTGATCCTCGGTTGGATCTTCGCATCAGCCTGCTCCAGATACAACCTACCCCAGTCCAGTATGGTCTGAGTCAAAGCAAACCTTAATCTTTCCTCTCTTCCCCCCACACTCACTCCGCTCAGGTGGGCCTGTCCCACTCCTTAATTTTCAGGTAGATCCTCGCATCTGCCTGCTCCAGATACGGCCTTCCTCCATTTTTTAGCTCATTTAAATTGCACTCTTTCCCCCCCCATTCCTTCCAGGTCGGCCTCTCCCACTCCCTCATCCTCAGGTAGATCCTCGCATCTGCCTGCTCCAGATACAGCCTTCCCCTCCCCAATGTGTTACGAGTCAACTCAAACCACACTCTTCCTTCTCTTGCCTCTCCTTCCCTCGCTCCCTACAGGTGGGCCTGTCCCACTCGTTGATCCTCCGCTGGATCCTCGCATCAGCCTGCTCCAGATACAGCCTTCCCCTACCTGCTGTGTTCCAAGTCAACTCAAACCACACTCTTCCCCCTCTCCCCCAACCCGACCACCCCGCAGGTGGGCCTATCTCACTCCCTCATCCTTCGCTGGATCCTCGCATCTGCCTGCTCCAGATACGACCTTCCCCTCCCCCTCCACCCCTCTCCGGCTTCTCCTGCCGTCGAGAGAGAGGGAGAGGAGGGAGGTGGAGGCGAGGCAGGTGTGTCTGGAGGGGGGCGGCAGCTGGTGTGGGTGTTATTCGGGGGCAGCACAGCGGAGCGACAGGTGTCTCTCATCAGCGGAACCAACGTGTGGCTCAAGCTGAGGGCGTGCCCGCAGGTGTGTGTGTGTGTGTGTGTGTGTATGTGTGTGTGTGTGTGTGTGTGTGTGTGTGTGTGTGTGTGTGTGTATGTGTGTGTGTGCATGTGTGTATGCGTGCGTGTGTGTGTGTGTGTGCGTGTGTGTGTGCGTGCGTGTGTGTGTGTGTGTGCGTGTGTGTGTGTGTGTGTGTGTCCCATAGACCATAACCCATGCCCTCAAATCCTTGCTGTGAGTGAGCACCGCTTGGTGCCATGCATCTCTCAGCAGCGGCACCAACGTGTGGCTCAAGCTGAGAGCCTGCCCGCAGGTGTGTAAATGTGTTTGCTGTGCTGTGTTGTGCTGTTGCCCCCGCCCTCTCCTATAGCCCCTCGCGTTTCCCCTCTCTCATGACCTGTGCCCCCCCTTCTCCGTTCCCCATCTCCTCGCCTGCGGTTCCATGGGTAAACGTTCCTCCTGTCTCTCTCATGGCTCTCTCATGGCTCTCTCATGGCTCTCTCATGGCTCTCTCATGGCTCTCTCTTGGCTCTCTCATGGCTCTCTCATGGCTCTCTCATGGCTCTCTCATGGCTCTCTCATGGCAGAATGGGGTTCCATGGGTAAACGTCAACCCCACTCTCCTGTCTCTCTCACGGCAGCAACAGCAACACGGCTGGAAGAAAAAAAAATAAAGCTGTCTTCCCATTTCCTTTCCCTCCCTCCCTCTCCCACAGTCTGAGGTGCAGTCGTCTGTCTCCGTCTCACAACCGCAGCAGCAACTCAGCTGGGAACAGCAGCAACAGCAGCAGCAGTAGCAACAGTAGCAGTGACAGCGCTGGGAAAATATCTCTGAAGCTGCTCTCCCCGCCTTTTGAGGCGCCTCAAAAGGAACAGCAGCAACAGCAGCAGCAGTAGCAGTGAGAATATTTCTGAAGCTGCTCTCCCCGCTCTCCCCGCTCTCTCCGTCCCCTCTTCCCATCTCCCAGCAGCAACAGCAGCAACAGCAGCAACAGCAACAGCAGCAGCAACAGCAGCAGCAGTAGCAGTGACAGCGCTGGGAGAATATTTCTGAAGCTGCTCTCCCCGCTCTCCCCGCTCTCTCCGTCCCCTCTTCCCATCTCCTTTCTCTCCCCCCTCTCCCACAGTTTGACGTGCAACCGTTCCTCCTGTCTCCGTCGCACGACAGCAGCAGCAACACTGCTGGGAGCAGCGGCACCAGCGGTGACACCGCTGGGGTAATATTTTTGAGGCCTCTCCCCATCCACTATTTCCCTCCCCTCCTCCCATCCCCTCTCATCCTCTCTCCCACAGTTTGACGTGCAACCGTTCCTCCTGTCTCCGTCTCACGACAGCAGCAGCAACACTGCTGGAAGCACCAGCAGCAACAGCTCAGGCAACGGCCCGAGCCCCGGGTCTCTCTCATTGAGCGAACGAGCGGCGTGGGCCGCTGAAGTTGACACTGTCTGGTCCCTCCCGTAAGCATTGTTTCTCGTGAGGCGCCTTTTGAGGCGTCTCAAAGAACGAGCGGCGTGGGCGGCAGAGGTCGACACTGTCTGGTCCCTCCCGTAAGCATCTGCTCTGGCATTTGAGTCGACTCAAAAGTCAGCACTGTAAGATTCTACTCGTTGGCCCTGCTAAGAAAAGCATCTCAAGCAACGGCTCGAGCCAGGGGTCTCTGTCGTTGAGCGAACGAGCAGCGTGGGCAGCTGAAAGCGACACTGTCTGGTCCCTCCCGTAAGCATTGTCTCGTTGCTGTGGCACTGCACTCTAAGCATCTGCTCTGGCACTGCACTGTAAGATTCTACTCGTTGGCAGTGCTAAGAAAAGCAGCTCAAGCAACGGCTCGAGCCCTGTGTCTCTGTCATTGCGTGAGCGAGCGGCATGGGCGGCAGAATTTGACACTGTCTGGTCGCTCCCGTAAGCACTCTTTGGCGCTGCAGTGCACTCCGATTCAAAAACCCCTCGTCTGCTGTTGCTTGCATTGCACTGGTTACCTGTCCACACAGGTACCCCGCCATCCTGCGCCACACTGTAGAGAAATTCGAGGCGGCTTGTATCCAGGATCTTTGCCCCCTTGTGTAACGTTGTTTCTTGCACTGGTTCCTCGTCCACACCATACAGGTACCCTGCAATCCTGAGACACACAGTAGAGGAAGTCGAGGCGGCTTGCATCGAGTTTCTTCTCCCCGTACCTCCAACTCAACCCACTTGTTTACTGTTCTTGCTTTTACCGGCTCTGTGGTGCTTGAACATGTACCCTGCAATCCTGAGACACACAGTAGAGGAAGTTGAGGCGGCTTGTATCGAAGCATCAAGAGAAGCAGCTCGACTGAAAGAAGCTGAAACAGAAGCAGAAGCAGCAGCAACAGCAGCTGCAGCTGCAACAGCAGGAACAGGCAGCAGTGGCACTTCCACCTCCTCCTCTACCCCACACTCTCTCCTGTCTGCCCTCCAGCATTCCATCGAACTAGAACTCGTGGGGAGAGATAAACCTAGTTTATCTGGTGGTGCTGATGTTACAGCTGCTGCTGCAGCTGGTCGCTTCGGGGATGTGGATGTGCGTGTGCCACCGAGACAGATGTCGCTCCGTGATTGGGTGGCTGCTGCAAAAGCTCAAGGCGCAATTGTGTTCATCGCAGGTACCATATGCTTCAGTGTGTGTTTTTCTAGAATATTTTTGAGGCGCCTCAAAATATTTTTGAGGCGCCTCGAGAATTCTCAAAAAACTCACGCTGCTTCGTCTTTCAGTCGATTTTAAAATTTTAGTCCACACACATGCAAGGTGGAGTTGTGCCCATTGAAGACACCATATGCTATCTTCTCTCGCACCCGCCTGGTCCTTTCCCTTGGTCCACCCTCTGCCTCTTCGCTAGGCATTCTTTACCTTTACCCCTGGTCCCGCACGTTCCGATGCACTCATGTCTTGCCTCCCTGTTTTTACTCTTCCCCGTCTTCTCCTATTACCCCTTTCCTCTTCAACCGCTTTCTCCAGTGCATGGGGGTATAGGGGAGGACGGCACGTTGCAACACTTGCTGGAACATGAAAGAGTGCCATTCACAGGTGAGTGAGATGCTTGCTTATCCTGTGCATGGGATAAGTTTCCAGCAGCAGCTTATCCTATCTCACATAGGAGGGTCTCCTGCTTTTTAAGTCGACTCCATAGCTGAACCTCTTACTCAAGGCTCAATAGCATGTGCACGCATGCAGCTCACTGAGCTATGTCTGGATCTCAATAGCATGTGCATGTTGTGATGTTTGTCAACAAAAGGCTGAGCCCCCTCTGTGTGCTACACAAATAGACTCCTCTGTGAAATGTCTATTGTTCTAGCAGCAATTAAATTAAGTCTGTTTGTGCTGCAGGTTCCGGGTCTGAAGCATCTCAGCTATGTATGGACAAGGTTGCGACAGGCCAGGCCATTGCTCATGTGAGTCCCTACGAAAGGGCTAGTGAGCAAGAGAGTGGGTGGGTGCCTGCATGGATAAGTGGGTGCCTGCATATGCTCGTTTGCGTCTGAAGCATCTCAGCTGTGTATGGACAAGGTCGCCACAGGCCAGGCCATCGCTCATGTGAGTCCCACTCGCGGTGGGTGTGAATGGGTGTCTATGGGTGCAACAATGCGACTCTTGAGTCATAGTTCTTTTTTCACTTCGACTCTTGAGATTATTCTTTCTTCTCCCTTTCTTTCCTTAGTTCTCGATTTTTCACTTTCCTTTCTACTTGCTCTCTTCCCTTCCTTGCCTCCAGCTGACCTCGGATGGTGTATTCTCGGCTCGAAAGCTGCTCCTTTCCCTTGACCAGTTGCTGCCCTGTGCTACTGCTGCTGCTGGCGCTGGTTCTGCCGATGCCACGTGGCAGCGTCTGATTGGCGAGCTCCAGGCTGACTCGTTCTGCGTGAAGCCAGCAACAGACGGGTGCTCTGCTGGCATTGCACGACTCGCGTGAGTGCAGTGCTGTTCAGTGCGGTACGGTGCAGTGTAGTGTGGGGCAGTGCGATGCAGAGGAGTGGGGTGGAGGTTCATGGAGTGCAGAGGGGTGCCAGTTAGTTTGGAGCAGGCGTGTTTTGAGTATTCACAGAGTCTGCTTGCGACACGGTGTCAGTCAGATTTAGGGTCGCAATTGGCTTTAGATTCATCACTGCAGAGGGTTGATGAATTTCTGTTCATTAAACCCAGATTTTCTCTCCTGATAGGAAGAAAACCTCCGAGTTTTAAGCTGATTCATTAGTCGACTCTGAACTGGGTGTTCCGAGTACCATACAAAGCGCCCCATGTTTCCAAGCAGCCTATGTTACAGCAGGTGACTTTTGAGTCGACTCAAAAGTTACAGCAGGCAGGGATACCGCTCCCTTCCGATTGCTACGAGTAGAAAGTAGATTTTTGAGACGTCTCAAAAATCTACTTTCTACACGTGGCTCCCTTCCGATTGCTCACTCTCTTTCACCCGCCTCACTTTCTCTTCACCCCCCACCTTACCCAGCAACCCGTCTGTCCTAGCAGCATAAGTCGCAGCAGTCAGGGATGTGGCTCCTTTTCCTTCTCTTACCCCCTCCGTTGCTCTCGTCACCCCCCCTCCCTCTCTTCACCCCCCACTTTACCCAGCAACCCGTCTGACCTAGCAGCATACGTTGCAGCAGTCAGGGACGCGGCTCCTCCTCCTTCTCTTACCCCCTCCGTTGCTCTCATCACCCTTCCTCCCTCTCATCACCCTTCCTCCCTCTCATCACCCCCCCTCCCTCTCTTCACCCCCCACTTTACCCAGCAACCCGTCTGACCTAGCAGCATACGTTGCGGCAGTCAGGGACGCGGCTCCTCCTCCTTCTCTTACCCCCTCCGTTGCTCTCATCACCCTTCCTCCCTCTCATCACCCTTCCTCCCTCTCATCACCCCCCCTCCCTCTCTTCACCCCCCACTTTACCCAGCAACCCGTCTGACCTAGCAGCATACGTCACAGCATTCAGGGATGCGGCTCCTCGCTTAATGCCTGGCCAGCTCTCTACGGTGAGTGGGTGGTTGGTGTATGTGGGTGCACAATGAGTGAGTGTATGGGTGAGAGAGTGAGTGAGAGAGTGAGTGAGCAGTCAGGGATGCGGCTCCTCACTTGCTGTCAGGCCAGCTCTTTACGGTGAGAAACCTGATCGCCCCCCAACCCATCTCCTCCTCGAACCTTTTATTGAAACATACCCCATTCTCCCTTTCCTCCCCTCCCTATCTCCGCCACTGTTTTCTTCCCCCCCACTCCCTTACTCCCTCTTCCCAGCTATGTGGAGTAGTGGAGATGCATCTTCGTACCCCAACCCATCTGCTCTTCGAGCCCGTCATCGAACAGACCCCATTTGACCACTCTCCACCTCTCCACTTCTTTCCTTCGTCTCCTCTCCCCTCCCCAGATTTGTGGGATATTGGAGATGCATCTTCATACCCCAACCCATCTGCTCTTCGAGCCCTTCATCGAAACAGACCCCATTTGACCACTCTCCACCTCTCCACTTCTTTCCTTCGTCTCCTCTCCCCTCCCCAGATTTGTGGGATATTGGAGATGCATCTTCGTACCCCAACCCATCTGCTCTTCGAGCCCTTTAACAAAACCGATCCCATTTGACCTCTTTCTTCCTCTCCACTTCCTCTTTCCTTCTCCCCCCTTTTTCCCCACACACCCCCACTTCCCTTCCAGCTGTGTGGGATAGTGGAGATGCCTGTTCGCCCCCCAACCCATCTGCTCTTCGAACCTTTTATCGAAACAGACCCCATTTGACCGCTGCCAACCCCACAGCAAGAGAACCAGCAGCGGGCACGTGTGACAATAACGAGGGGTTGGTGTGGGAGGGCAGGCGGCGGTGGGTGGTGGTGACTGTAGGGGTGGTGGGGCACCGGGGTAAGATGAGGGCCCTGGCCCCGAGTGTGACTGTAAAGGAGGCTGGAGATGTGCTCACTCTGGAGGAGAAGTTCCAAGGTGAGTAAATGTGACTGTAAAGTCGTGACTGGATAGAGTTGTGAATGTAAAGATGTGACTGTAGGTTGTGGCTTCAGCAGGTGGTGTATTAGCAGGATTCAGCATGGGTGATGTTGTTTGTTTCTAACACTGTTGTTGTTGTTTGTGAAGTTTTGGATGCTTCTGTTTCTAACACTTTTGTTGTTGTTTGGATCACTAAGGTGCTTTTATTGTTGAAAGTGTCAGAAGCATCCAAAACTAATTTTCAACCCCTCCTTACCTGTCTGTCACCCCTTCCATCCATGCACTGTCCTAAGCCCAGGTGGCACTGGCATCAATCTCACTCCCCCTCCAACGTCCATCATCAGGTATCGCCTTCTTCCCTTCATACACTGAGTTTTGAGACGTCTCAAAACTCTTCCCTGCACACGCACACCCTCTCTCTTCTGCTGCACCATTGTGCCACCACCTCTTTCCTCACACATGGTGTGGCAGCACCCGTTGCCGTTTTTGTTGTTGTTGTTGTTGTTGTTTTTTTTTTTTTTTTTTTTTTTTAACCAAACTTTTTATTATGCTCTGATCTGAATGCCATTTTTTTTTCTAACCTTCAATTATGCTCTAACTTGAGATTCGAGTTTGCCTGGCTGTGCATGTGCCCAAGAAGCCGACCGAATTCATGCGAGCTTGTCAGAATGTGAAACGGCCAGTATTGACGGCTTCACGCATGGTTGCTTAGAATACATTCATTTTGTCTTTCCTTTGTTAAAATTTAGAAGAAAGAAGAGAGAAGAAGGAGGATTGCACTAGCAAGAATGGGGATACAAATAGGAAACCCTAGAAGGGTTGTACTCGCTATAGAGCACCCCACTACAGGCTAGAGCATAAGATAACATTCTGACACACCCCCATAGCCAAAGTGGGGTGTAATCAGCAGAGGAAGCAAAGGAGTACAAGCTCAGGGTGGATCACAATGTCACCACACATTCTGAGCACAAGTTCAAGAAGCAATAGTTTAAGTTCACAATTATGAGCAAAGCTAGTGGTAGTCACAACGGGCAAGTGAGGAGGAGGAGAGAGAGTGAGAGGAGAGGAGATAGGGGGCGACGGCTGAAGCTGCAGACACACGGGCAACAGGAGGCAGACTGGCACAGCGGCTACCGGACGAAGTCCCCGGAATACAGGAGTAACAGGCCCCGCGGCTAAAGTAGCGGCAGACGAGCAACGGACCCACGGGCGGCTGGCACAGCTGGCTACGACTGGGCTACCGGACGAAGTCCCCGGAATACAGGTGCTGCTGGCGACACGACGGCAACCTCCATTCAGCTTCCCAAACTATCCCACTCCCCCCTGGCACACACCCGCTGCTACACCGCTAGCTCCACTCCCCCTTCACCCCCCCTTAGTACCACTCCACCGGCTCCAACACGTCCACCCCCCCTCAGCGGCAGCTGCAGCACAGGGAGACGGAGGAGGAGGAGGAGCAGGCGATGCCACACACCTGCCACCCCCCAACCGCCACCCCCCAACCGCCACCCCCCAACCACTACCCCCCAAACCCTAAAAACAGGGTAGGGAGGTCGGGGGGGGGGGGGGGGGGGGGGGGGGGGGGGGGGGGGGGGGCAACGCGCGGCCCCCGGTAGACTCCCGGCCCCCCCCAGGGTCGCCTCGACGGGCGACGGGAGTTGGGCCGGGGCAGGTCGGGGACGGGGCGGGGCAGCAGGGGCCGCGCACGGCTCCCCTGAGCAGCGCGACGAGGCAGCAGGGCCGCGCGACGGGGCAGCAGGGGCCGCGCGCGGCTCCCCTGGGCGGCGCGACGGGGCTGCAGGGGCCGCGCGCGGCTCCCCTGGGCGGCGCGACGGGGCTGCAGGGGCCGCGCGCGGCTCCCCTGGGCGGCGCGACGGGGCTGCAGGGGCCGCGCGCGGCTCCCCTGGGCGGCGCGACGGGGCTGCAGGGGTCGCGCGCGGCTCCCCTGGGCGGCGCGACGGGGCTGTAGGGGTCGCGCGACCCGCCGCGCGCCTCGGGGCGCGCGGCGGGCAGGAAACCGCCGCGCGCCTCGGGGCGCACGGCGGGCAGAAAACCGCCGCGCGCCTCGGGGCGCACGGCGGGCAGAAAACCGCCGCGCGCCTCGGGGCGCACGGCGGGAAGAAAAACTGCCGCACGCCACGAAGCGTGCGGCACAGAGAGTAGCAGTAGCAGTTGCAGCGGAAGCAACAAGGTGGTGAGCCCACCCACAGGATCGATCCAAGGGGATCGACCTGCTCTGATAGCATGTTAAAAGTTTAGAAGAAAGAAGAGAGAAGAAGGAGGATTGCACTAGCAAGAATGGGGATACAAATAGGAAACCCTAGAAGGGTTGTACTCGCTATAGAGCACCCCACTACAGGCTAGAGCATAAGATAACATTCTGACATCCTTGCCTCTCTCTGTCACCCCTGCCAGTGCAAGCGGCCAGGAGGAAGGGCGGAGGCGCATTGAGATGGTGGCCAGTGCTCTCAACATCGACGGTGTCACTCTTGCTGGCCTAGGAAGCAAGCATCTGTCTATGTGTTCTTGCTTGCCTCTTTCTACCTCCCCTGCCAGTGCAAGAGCGCAGGAGGAGGGCGGAGGCGCATTGAGATGGTGGCCAGTGCTCTCAACATCGACGGTGTCACTCTTGGTGGCCTAGGAAGCAAGCATCTGTCTATGTGTTCTTGCTTGCCTCTTTCTACCTCCCCTGCCAGTGCAAGAGCGCAGGAGGAGGGGCGGAGGCGCATTGAGATGGTGGCCAGTGCTCTCAACATCGACGGTGTCACTCTTGCTGGCCTAGGAAGCAAGCATCTGTCTATGTGTTCTTGCTTGCCTCTTTCTACCTCCCCTGCCAGTGCAAGAGCGCAGGAGGAGGGGCGGAGGCGCATTGAGATGGTGGCCAGTGCTCTCAACATCGACGGCCTCAATATGCTGGCCTAGGAAACAAGCACCTATCTGTGTTCATTCTTTCTTGCCTCTCTTTCCCACCCTACCAGTGCAAGTGCGCAGGAGGAGGGGCGGAGGCGCATTGAGATGGTGGCCAGTGCTCTCAACATCGACGGCCTCAATATGCTGGGCTAGGAAACAAGCACCTATCTGTGTTCATTCTTTCTTGCCTCTCTTTCCCACCCTACCAGAGCAAGTGCGCAGGAGGCGGGGCGGAAGCGCATTGAGATGGTGGCCAATGCTCTCAACATCGATGGCTTCGCTCGGATCGATGCGTTCATGCATGCAGACAACGGCGAGGTAGGCTCTAGGGAGCGAACCTTGCACATCCGTTATACGTTTGTGCAGTTTTTGCCAAAGAGTATTGGATCGACCCTAAAGTTGCATTTGTATTCGTATCTTGTGCCTTTCTTATTTATTGAGCAGGTGATAGTTATCGAGGCTAACACTGTCCCAGGCATGACTCCATCAACTGTGCTCATGCACCAGGTGCCCTAAGTTTTTTCACATTGGTTCGACATTCCTTGTTATTAATTTCACATGCTCACTCATTTTTTTCTTCCATACAGGCTCTGGCTGAGTCGCCACCAATTCGGCCACGAGATTTTTTTCGCCACGGCAGTTGAGCATGCCATCGAAAGGCATAGAAACATGATATAAAATAGTGTACTTTGAGCCACAACAAACTCCAGCGCTTAGGTGTAGTGGAGTAATTGAACTCTGAAATACTCGGGGAGAATATGCCATAAGTAACCAACTTGGGACTCTATAACATGAATGGTAAAAAATAAACGCGTACAGTCACTGTATCGGGTTTTCTGACGGGTTTGGTAAGTGGGGTCATGGATTCAGTCATTAACAAGAGGTAAAAAATCACGCGAATGGTCACACATGTAACTCCCGCCATAAAAACTTGAAACTCAACAAATTCCAGCTCGCGCCCAACCAATCTGCAAACTTCCGGAATCGGATGCGGTTTGGGAACGGATCAACCCTAAACACCTGGCGAGTTACGTGTTTAGGGTTGATTCATCCGAAAATGCATCCAGGTTCTTTTGGGGTTTCATTTTGTTTTGGCGGGAGTTTCATCTATGACCATTCGCGTTTTATTTTACCACTTGATTGTGACTGATTACGCGAAACGTTTTATCAGTCGCGTGAAAACACCCTTTGCAGTGACCGTACCCTTTATTTTTTTACAAAAAATATTATCGAGTCCCATGATGGTTACGAATGGCATATTTTCCCAAGTAATTGCGGGGCATGTCAATGCGTGGCGTGGACGAGGGGATTTCTCAGGTGTGACAGCTCGCCTGGTGAACATAGCCAACAACGTTCACCAATCAGACCGAGTCACCGAGGCAGAAGCTTGATGACAAGGAGGTTGAGGGCCAACGGATGAGATTGCAGGATTTGAGAAAATCCACGGCGAATCAACGCTGTTTGCGATATTGCGACGACTTGGGCGAGGTTTCGCGAGCACCTGCGGGAACCCGTCTGCTTATGATCCATCAGGCACTCGCAGCTTCGGTATTATCCAAGGCTTGGGTGGCAACAGCAGCCTTGGTGTTTGGTTTGTTGGACTTTCTCTTTCACATGGCTGGCGTCGCACCTGCCTGCCAATCGTCGCACTTCCTCGCCCTGGTTTCGTCAATCGCCAGCCACCAGAACCTGGCGTGCATTCTGCGTGCCATGCAGTTCCCCTGCGACACCGCTGGTCGTGCGACCGTCGTTGTGTCTTGGCCGTCACACTGTGTAATCGTCCTAGTGCGACGATTACGGGTCGTCAAGAATCCTGCGAAATTCGTTATGTACCTCCTTCCCCTCCATCACTCTCTTACTATGCTCTGATTTCTACACTGCTAGGAGCTGACAGCCATTGTTCGTAGATATTCTGAGTGCATTCCACTATCAGGGGTTATGTTCCTTCTCGTTGAAGTTCTTTTCTCTCCCAAAAAGCTCAAATCTTTATTTTTTTGTTCCCCTTCCTTCGTGGAAGCTTACCGCAGCAGATAACACGCCGATTTTTTCGGGCCTGTTTCTGAATAACGGAATATTTCCGGCTAATTTTTGTTGCCATCGAGGTTTGGCAGTTTAGAAACCAATGGCGTTTTTTATGAGGTTTTAACCGACGCATTTCACACAGGCGATTACCGTATATGCCACGTTTCCTGACGGTTTATTTTATCCCGAGGCCGTTTTTGGTAGAAAAATGGCGAATTCTGGAAAAAGTGGACGGAAAGATAAATCGACTTCAGGCCGTCCTTCCGCACAGAAGCAGCGAAAGAGAGGCTCAGATTCCCGAGTACAGAAAGTCGAGGATCAGTCTAGGGACGAATCTTCGTTATTGACGGCTTCAGTAACAGAACAGAGCACGCTGGTGCATAACACAGAGAATAAGGAGGACGAAAAGCCAGCGAAGCTCCTTCAAGTTCGGGCCGTAATTCCCGGACCTACGCCTGGATCTCGTGTGACTATAGCGGTGGGAAGTAGTATCCATGAGATCTGCCTCGTTCCGTTGCTGCAAATTAGATGGATCAGGCCGCAGAAGGTCGGACCTGGGTTGCGAAACCTAGGTAACACGTGTTACCTGAACAGCGTGTTACAATGCCTGACGTACACGCCGCCGCTCGCGAATTTCTGCCTGCAGCAGCAGCACACCAAGATCTGTGAGTTCCTGATGAGATATACGTTGATGGCATAATTAATCGAGTTTCTCTCCGTTGTTGGTGTCACTAATACCGTTAGCTCCAGCCTGATACACATTACTTGCCAGGATTGGTGTGCAGCAACAGCAACAGCAACAGTGTAGGATTTTCAATGCGAAGTCTCGCACAAGAGGTTAGGCAGAGTGATAGAAGATCCTTTTGTTTTCCAGCTGAACCGTGCTCGGATTCTTGAACCAGTTTTTTCCTCAATTAGTCATCGTAGGTTAGCGTTCTTGCAGTTCGGATAGATATCTGGCAGACAAGAAATAGCAGCACTCGTTGACCTTTTCCCGTTTAGATTAGCATCACTCGTTCAGACGGCGCTAGTCAGTTCATACCAACATTTAGACAATTCAGTTTAGCATTCAGCCAGTCCAGATTAGCAAGCAGTACGTTCACATTAGCATTCACATCGTTCACATTAGCATTCACATCGTTCACATTAGCATTCACATCGTTCACATTAGCATTCACATCGTTCACATTAGCATTCACATCGTTCACATTAGCATTCCCATCGTTCACATTAGCATTCAGCCAGTTAAGATCCGCATTTAGGATGTTTACAGTGGCATTCAGTCACTTCAGATTAGACCAGTCAGTCAAAAGATGGCATTCAGCCAGTTCAGATCAGCATTCAGTCAGTTCGGATGAGCATTCATTCAGTCCAGATGAGCATTCAGTCAGTCAATTTAGCACTCAGTCAGTCCAGATGGCATCCAGTCAGCCCAGATGAGCACTCAGGCAGTCCAGATGAGCATTCAGTCAGTCCAGATGAGCATTCAGTCAGTTCAAGTGAAGTCTCATCTTTTTGAGTCCATAACTAATGCACCTCGTCAGTTGTTACAATCAGACGTTAAGTTGAGTTGAGCTTTTGCTTCACGTCTTCTTTCCGCCCTCCTGCTGCTCTTTTATATGCCTCGGCTTCCTTGTAGACGACCTTCATGTCCTCTAAACCCCTCTCACTCCCTCCCACCTCTCCCATTCCTCAGGTGCACTTTTGAACCCTGGGGGAACAGCGTCCTGCCCCTTTTGCATTCTCGAGCGCCGTATCGCCCGCTCTTTGACTCTAGAGGCCGCCCGGGACACGCCTAGGGTTGTAGTGAACCGCTTAAAGCTCATTGCCAAGAGTTTCAGTCACGGGCGGCAAGAGGACGCCCATGAGCTGCTTCGATACGCGATAGAAGCATGTAACAGAGCGTGTGTAGCCCTGCACAAAAAGGTAGCTGCTGCAGCCGCAGCTGCTGCTGCATCTGCGGGCGGGAATACTGTTAGTGGGCCGAACGGCAGTCCGGATGTGACTAAATCGGGGCCCGAGAGTCCACTGAACCAGCTGGTGGAAGGGTTGTTTTTAAACGAGGGGGCCAGCGTTCAGAAGATGCACACGAGACGAAGCTCTAGGTTATCCCTAGACCGAGCAAACAACGGTAGGGAATCAGCAGAGGGAGGTCCGTTCTCCCAGCAGTTTGGCACAGACCAGCAGTCAATGCAGTTGGGCCAGTTGACAGGCAGTCAGCAATCTGTAGTGCCTCAGTTAGGAGATCCTGTGGAAAACACAGATATGGACGTAGACGTGGACGTAAACGTAGACCTAGACGTAACAGAAGTGCCTGAACCGTCTGCTGGTTCCGCATCAGCGCCTGCCACAGGATCATCAGCAGCAGCAGCAGCTGTAGCGGATGTGGCGGATGTAGCAGCGGCCTGTAGCAGCAGCAGCGGGGGTGGGAGTGTGCCTAGGAGGCGGATGAGTTTGAGAAGGCGAGGGTTCGCCACTGATGGGGAGGAAGAGGAGGACAGGGACGGGGGTTTTGGGCATGCGGGAGCAGGGGCGGGGGCGGGGAGGGGAGTGGGCGGAGGCAGGGCGCGGAAGGGACGGGGAGTAGCGCTGCGGGTAGGGCTGCATGTCCTGCCTGGAAGGGGGAAAGGGCGGGGGGCAGGGCCGGGAGGGGCGGCAGCAGGGCCAGCAGCGGATCAGATTGGCTCACCTGGAAAATCTCCTGGTAGAGGGAAGGGAAGCCCCAGAGGCGCAGGGGGAGGGAGCGTAGGTGGAGTTGGAGCAGGAGAGGGAGGGGCAGGGGGTTGTTCAGGTGGACAGGACGAACCACACACCATAGTGAAAGAGATTTTTGGTGGGATACTGCAGAGCCAGATTCGGTGCTTACAGTGTGACGGGGAGTCTAATAAGAGGGATGCAATTCTGGACTTGAGTTTGGACGTGCACAGGCTAGGGTCGCTAAAAGACGCACTAAATAGGTTCGCCAAACCTGAAGTTCTGGATGGGGAGAATAGATACCGGTGTGATAAATGCAACCGGCTGTCTGCTGCACGAAAGGCGCTGACGATCTTTCATGCGCCCAACATTCTTGTCATTCAATTCAAGGTGAGCATGGGACTGTAGCTAGGCTGCACTGCACTTCCGCTGTTTTGACCTGCCTGCTCCGTCTGCTGCAAGAAAGGTGCTGACGATCTTCCATGCGCCCAACATACTTGTCATTCAATTCAAGGTGTGCATCGATTCGTCTCGCCTCCCGCGCGCGCGCACGCGCGCGCGTGTGTGTGTGTTTGTTTGTTTGTTTTTTTTTTTTTTTCATGCCGTCCGTGTGATTTAGTTAAAAGGTGTCGGTTTGAGTTGCTATTTCTAGCTCGCTTGCTTGCCTGCTTGCTAACTAGCGTTCATCCTTGCCTTCCTGACCGCAGAGGTTTGAGAACGTGTTTGGAGGGAAGATTGACCGCCACATTCGGTTCGAGGATCGCGTTTCATTGAAAGGCCACATGAGCGGCTCACCTGCTGCTGTCATTTCCACACCCCCCCCCCTCTTCCCTGCTCCCCTGCTTCCTGCCATCATCTCATCTCAGGATACCCAGCCAGAGTACACGCTCTTTGGGGTGGTGGTCCATGCAGGGTCGTCTCACCTGCCCACATGCTGCCATCTCTATTCTCTCTGCTTCGCTGCTTCCCTGATATCATCCCTCTCAGGATACCCAGCCAGAAAACACGCTCTTTGGGGTGGTGGTCCATGCAGGGTCGTCTCACCTGCCCACATGCTGCCATCTCTATTCTCTCTGCTTCGCTGCTTCCCTGATATCATCCCTCTCAGGATACCCAGCCAGAGTACACGCTCTTTGGGGTGGTGGTCCATGCAGGGTCGTCTCACCTGCCCACATGCTGCCATCTCTATTCTCTCTGCTTCGCTGCTTCCCTGATATCATCCCTCTCAGGATACCCAGCCAGAGTACACGCTCTTTGGGGTGGTGGTCCATGCAGGGTCGTCTAACCTGCCCACATGCTGCCATCTCTATTCTCTCTGCTTCGCTGCTTCCCTGATATCATCCCTCTCAGGATACCCAGCCAGAGTACACGCTCTTTGGGGTGGTGGTCCATGCAGGGTCGTCTCACCTGCCCACATGCTGCCATCTCTATTCTCTCTGCTTCTCTGCTTCCCTGGTATCATCCCTCTCAGGATACCCAGCCAGAGTACACGCTCTTTGGGGTGGTGGTCCATGCAGGGTCGTCTCACCTGCCCACATGCTACCATCTCTATTCTCTCTGCTTCGCTGCTTCCCTGATATCATCCCTCTCAGGATACCCAGCCAGAGTACACGCTCTTTGGGGTGGTGGTCCATGCAGGGTCGTCTCACCTGCCCACATGCTACCATCTCTATTCTCTCTGCTTCGCTGCTTCCCTGATATCATCCCTCTCAGGATACCCAGCCAGAGTACACGCTCTTTGGGGTGGTGGTCCATGCAGGGTCGTCTCACCTGCCCACATGCTGCCATCTCTATTCTCTCTGCTTCGCTGCTTCCCTGATATCATCCCTCTCAGGATACCCAGCCAGAGTACACGCTCTTTGGGGTGGTGGTCCATGCAGGGTCGTCTCACCTGCCCACATGCTGCCATCTCTATTCTCTCTGCTTCTCTGCTTCCCTGGTATCATCCCTCTCAGGATACCCAGCCAGAGTACACGCTCTTTGGGGTGGTGGTCCATGCAGGGTCGTCTCACCTGCCCACATGCTGCCATCTCTATTCTCTCTGCTTCGCTGCTTCCCTGGTATCATCCCTCTCAGGATACCCAGCCAGAGTACACGCTCTTTGGGGTGGTGGTCCATGCAGGGTCGTCTCACCTGCCCACATGCTGCCATCTCTATTCTCTCTGCTTCGCTGCTTCCCTGATATCATCCCTCTCAGGATACCCAGCCAGAGTACACGCTCTTTGGGGTGGTGGTCCATGCAGGGTCGTCTCACCTGCCCACATGCTGCCATCTCTATTCTCTCTGCTTCGCTGCTTCCCTGATATCATCCCTCTCAGGATACCCAGCCAGAGTACACGCTCTTTGGGGTGGTGGTCCATGCAGGGTCGTCTCACCTGCCCACATGCTGCCATCTCTATTCTCTCTGCTTCGCTGCTTCCCTGATATCATCCCTCTCAGGATACCCAGCCAGAGTACACGCACTTTGGGGTGGTGGTCCATGCAGGGTCGTCTCACCTGCCCACATGCTGCCATCTCTATTCTCTCTGCTTCGCTGCTTCCCTGATATCATCCCTCTCAGGATACCCAGCCAGAGTACACGCACTTTGGGGTGGTGGTCCATGCAGGGTCGTCTCACCTGCCCACATGCTGCCATCTCTATTCTCTCTGCTTCGCTGCTTCCCTGATATCATCCCTCTCAGGATACCCAGCCAGAGTACACGCTCTTTGGGGTGGTGGTCCATGCAGGGTCGTCTCACCTGCCCACATGCTGCCATCTCTATTCTCTCTGCTTCGCTGCTTCCCTGATATCATCCCTCTCAGGATACCCAGCCAGAGTACACGCTCTTTGGGGTGGTGGTCCATGCAGGGTCGTCTCACCTGCCCACATGCTGCCATCTCTATTCTCTCTGCTTCTCTGCTTCCCTGGTATCATCCCTCTCAGGATACCCAGCCAGAGTACACGCTCTTTGGGGTGGTGGTCCATGCAGGGTCGTCTCACCTGCCCACATGCTGCCATCTCTATTCTCTCTGCTTCGCTGCTTCCCTGATATCATCCCTCTCAGGATACCCAGCCAGAGTACACGCTCTTTGGGGTGGTGGTCCATGCAGGGTCGTCTCACCTGCCCACATGCTGCCATCTCTATTCTCTCTGCTTCGCTGCTTCCCTGATATCATCCCTCTCAGGATACCCAGCCAGAGTACACGCTCTTTGGGGTGGTGGTCCATGCAGGGTCGTCTCACCTGCCCACATGCTGCCATCTCTATTCTCTCTGCTTCGCTGCTTCCCTGATATCATCCCTCTCAGGATACCCAGCCAGAGTACACGCTCTTTGGGGTGGTGGTCCATGCAGGGTCGTCTCACCTGCCCACATGCTGCCATCTCTATTCTCTCTGCTTCGCTGCTTCCCTGATATCATCCCTCTCAGGATACCCAGCCAGAGTACACGCTCTTTGGGGTGGTGGTCCATGCAGGGTCGTCTCACCTGCCCACATGCTGCCATCTCTATTCTCTCTGCTTCTCTGCTTCCCTGGTATCATCCCTCTCAGGATACCCAGCCAGAGTACACGCTCTTTGGGGTGGTGGTCCATGCAGGGTCGTCTCACCTGCCCACATGCTACCATCTCTATTCTCTCTGCTTCGCTGCTTCCCTGATATCATCCCTCTCAGGATACCCAGCCAGAGTACACGCTCTTTGGGGTGGTGGTCCATGCAGGGTCGTCTCACCTGCCCACATGCTACCATCTCTATTCTCTCTGCTTCGCTGCTTCCCTGATATCATCCCTCTCAGGATACCCAGCCAGAGTACACGCTCTTTGGGGTGGTGGTCCATGCAGGGTCGTCTCACCTGCCCACATGCTGCCATCTCTATTCTCTCTGCTTCGCTGCTTCCCTGATATCATCCCTCTCAGGATACCCAGCCAGAGTACACGCTCTTTGGGGTGGTGGTCCATGCAGGGTCGTCTCACCTGCCCACATGCTGCCATCTCTATTCTCTCTGCTTCTCTGCTTCCCTGGTATCATCCCTCTCAGGATACCCAGCCAGAGTACACGCTCTTTGGGGTGGTGGTCCATGCAGGGTCGTCTCACCTGCCCACATGCTGCCATCTCTATTCTCTCTGCTTCGCTGCTTCCCTGGTATCATCCCTCTCAGGATACCCAGCCAGAGTACACGCTCTTTGGGGTGGTGGTCCATGCAGGGTCGTCTCACCTGCCCACATGCTGCCATCTCTATTCTCTCTGCTTCGCTGCTTCCCTGATATCATCCCTCTCAGGATACCCAGCCAGAGTACACGCTCTTTGGGGTGGTGGTCCATGCAGGGTCGTCTCACCTGCCCACATGCTGCCATCTCTATTCTCTCTGCTTCGCTGCTTCCCTGATATCATCCCTCTCAGGATACCCAGCCAGAGTACACGCTCTTTGGGGTGGTGGTCCATGCAGGGTCGTCTCACCTGCCCACATGCTGCCATCTCTATTCTCTCTGCTTCGCTGCTTCCCTGATATCATCCCTCTCAGGATACCCAGCCAGAGTACACGCACTTTGGGGTGGTGGTCCATGCAGGGTCGTCTCACCTGCCCACATGCTGCCATCTCTATTCTCTCTGCTTCGCTGCTTCCCTGATATCATCCCTCTCAGGATACCCAGCCAGAGTACACGCACTTTGGGGTGGTGGTCCATGCAGGGTCGTCTCACCTGCCCACATGCTGCCATCTCTATTCTCTCTGCTTCGCTGCTTCCCTGATATCATCCCTCTCAGGATACCCAGCCAGAGTACACGCTCTTTGGGGTGGTGGTCCATGCAGGGTCGTCTCACCTGCCCACATGCTGCCATCTCTATTCTCTCTGCTTCGCTGCTTCCCTGATATCATCCCTCTCAGGATACCCAGCCAGAGTACACGCTCTTTGGGGTGGTGGTCCATGCAGGGTCGTCTCACCTGCCCACATGCTGCCATCTCTATTCTCTCTGCTTCTCTGCTTCCCTGGTATCATCCCTCTCAGGATACCCAGCCAGAGTACACGCTCTTTGGGGTGGTGGTCCATGCAGGGTCGTCTCACCTGCCCACATGCTGCCATCTCTATTCTCTCTGCTTCGCTGCTTCCCTGATATCATCCCTCTCAGGATACCCAGCCAGAGTACACGCTCTTTGGGGTGGTGGTCCATGCAGGGTCGTCTCACCTGCCCACATGCTGCCATCTCTATTCTCTCTGCTTCGCTGCTTCCCTGATATCATCCCTCTCAGGATACCCAGCCAGAGTACACGCTCTTTGGGGTGGTGGTCCATGCAGGGTCGTCTCACCTGCCCACATGCTGCCATCTCTATTCTCTCTGCTTCGCTGCTTCCCTGATATCATCCCTCTCAGGATACCCAGCCAGAGTACACGCTCTTTGGGGTGGTGGTCCATGCAGGGTCGTCTCACCTGCCCACATGCTGCCATCTCTATTCTCTCTGCTTCGCTGCTTCCCTGATATCATCCCTCTCAGGATACCCAGCCAGAGTACACGCTCTTTGGGGTGGTGGTCCATGCAGGGTCGTCTCACCTGCCCACATGCTGCCATCTCTATTCTCTCTGCTTCTCTGCTTCCCTGGTATCATCCCTCTCAGGATACCCAGCCAGAGTACACGCTCTTTGGGGTGGTGGTCCATGCAGGGTCATCCCAAGACTCGGGCCATTACTATGCATACGTCAAGGTACGCTGTTTGCTATGTTTATATGTGGATGTGCGCGGTTTTGAGACGTCTCAAAACCAGCCTTATATCTCGGGCCATTACTATGCATACGTCAAGGTACGCTGCTTGTAATGCTTATGTGGAGATACGCGGTTTTGGGATGTCTCAACACCAACCGTATATCTCGGCTCGGGCCGTGACTATGCATATGTCAAGTTACACTACTTGCTATGCTTATGTGAAGATACTTGGTGATTATTTCGAGGTAAGTGGTCATGCTGTGACGGCTGCTCCGTCCCCCCAGTGGCGTTCCCATCAGGCAACACGGCGTACATCCTCTTATACCATCTCACCCCCTCTTCCTTCTTCCATCCCCCGGCCCCTGCAGGACTCCACGGGCAAGTGGTCATGCTGTAACGGCTGCTCCATCTCCCCAGTGGCTTTCCCATCGGGGAACACAGCCCGCATGCACTTATGCCTCTGCGAACCCTCCTTCTTTCGTTCCCCTGGCGATATCCCCTCTCTCCCCCCCCCTTGCCCCCTGCAGGACTCCACTGGCAGGTGGTCCTGCTGTGACGACTGCTCCGTCTCCCAGTGGCCCTCCCAGACGTCCTTGCAGACAAGGCCTACATGCTTTTCTACCTCCGCCTGTCTCCGTTCTCTCCCCTTTCTCCCCCTCTTCCGTTTTTCAGGACTCCACAGGCAGGTGGTCATGCTGTGACGACTGCTCCGTCTCCCCAGTCGCCCTCCCAGACGTCCTTGCAGACAAGGCCTACATGCTTTTCTACCTCCACCTGTCTCCGTTCTCTCCCCTTTCTCCCCCTCTTCCGTTTCCACAGGCAGGTGGTCATGCTGTGACGACTGCTCCGTCTCCCCAGTCGCCCTCCTAGACGTTCTAGCAGACAAGGCCTACATGCTCTTATACCTCCGCCTCTCCCCCCAGCTCAACCTCAACACATCCCCAGTGGCTCTCCTATTAGGCAGCAAGGCCTACATTCCCTTAATACCTCCACACCCGTTCCTTCTTCCTCCTTTGTTCCTCCCTGTCCCCTTCCCTCCCTTCCCTCCTGCAGGACTCCACGGGCAAGTGGTCCTGCTGTGACGACTGCTCCGTCTCCCCAGTCGCCCTCCCAGACGTTCTAGCAGACAAGGCCTACATGCTCTTCTACCTCCGCGTCTCCCCTCGCCCCCCCGGATCCACCTCCCTCTCCTCCCTCTCCTCGCCCACCTCCCCTCGCCCCTCCCACCGCTCGCCCGCTCCGCTGTCTCTAGACAGCAAGTCTCCTCTCTCTCCGTCTCGGTCTGGGAAGCTCGCTGCTCGCCGCCTGAGTGCGGATCTGCAGCTGTCAACTGCTGCTGCAGCAACTTCTGCTTCTGCTGGCGCTGGTGTTGCTGCTGCCGGGGCCGGGGCTGGGGTTGCTGATTGTCTTGATGCCGCTACAGCTGCTACAGCTTCCCCACCTGGCCGCTGCACTACTCTTCCTGTGCATGCTGCCTTCCCGTCAGAACCCTGTGTAGCAGGCGCCAAGCCAGAACCACTAGAGACGGCAGCAGCACCTGGTCCCTTGTCAGAAGCGGGTTACATGGTTACACGTGAGCCATCACCAGGCCGTTTTGAGCTACCACCAGCAGCCGAGCAAGCAGAGGGAGAACTAGAAACAGATGCAGAAGAAGTGGCAGAAGCAGAGGCAGAAGCAGAAACAGAGTTACAAGGAGAGGCGGTTTTGGCAATGGCAGATCTAGTAGGGGCCCGGGCAGGTGAAGCGGCAGGTGGGGCTTTACCTAAAGCCGTGTCTGCACTTGCAGCCTTGGGGTTAGTGAGGAGGAGCGTTGCTGCTGCTGCTCCTGCTCCTGCCGTGCCTGCTGCTGCTCCTGTTGCCGCTTCTGTTGCTCCTCCCGCTGCTGCTCCTGCTGTTCTTCCTCCTCCTGCTGCTTCTGCTGCTCCTGTTATTGCTCGTCCCACTGCATCTGCGGTTGCTCCTGAGTCTGCTGCTGCTCTAACAGCTGCTGCAGCTGCTTCAGGTGATGAAAGCGGGCGAAGGAGGGAGAGCAGCAGCAGGGGGAAAAGCATTGAGAAGCATGGGGTGGTTTGCGGGGTTAAGAGAGTGACTCTCGTGAAGAGGATTGCAGATCTCGCAGCAGATGCCTCTACTGCTGCTGCGCCCCATTACATCTCTGTACCTGATGAGCCTGCTATGCATGCTGGTGCTGCTGCTGCAGCTGCTGCTGCTCCCGTTCCTGCTTCTGCTGGTGCTGCTCCTGCATCTAGCGCTACTGCAGCAGTTCCCCTGGAAGGCGCGGATTCAGGGGCAGGTGCAGCAGCTCCCTTGGATGGTAGGGCGCTAAGCTCAGGTGTAACAGCAGCTCCCTTGGATGGCAATGAGTCAAGGATAGGTGCAGCAGGGTGTGCACGAACGGCAGCAGCAGTCAGCACCAAGCGAGTTTCAGCTAAAGCAGCACCAGCAGCAGTGGCGGCAGCACCATTAGCAGAAGCTGCAGCAGCAGACGCACTATCGGGGTTGGTGATTTCAGGTCCGACAGGTGCAGTCCCAGCAGCAGAGGCAGATTTGTTGCCAGAAATAGCTGCCACAACAGCAGCTACCATTGCAGCTTCCGCAACAGCTTCCACATGCCCAGTTGCGGCAGCAAAGATTGAAGCAGGTGCGGTACTGAGCGCAACGGGATTCGAACTTGCGACCTTTCGAGTCACAGTGAGGGGAAGCCAAGCTGCGGAGCCAGTGTCGAGGGAAGACACGTCTGGGGCGTCTGTTCCCCACGAAATGGCAGCTGAGGCGCGTCACTCGAAGGAGGGTGAATTGAGGGATGAGGGGCTGCTGAAGGATGGGGATGGAGAGAAGGATGGGGATGTTTTGATGCGTGGGAATGTTTCAAAGGCTGGGGTTGCAGAGGAAGCTGGGGATGTTTTACTCCTGAAGCATGAAGATGCATTTAAAGACGTGGATGCAGAGAGGGATGGCGGATTGCAAAGCGAAGAGGGGCAGGATGCAGGGTGCCTCGCTGGATGGTTGGAATGCAGGGAAGAAGAGTTAATAGAAGAGAGGGAGGCTATTGCATTGGGTGAGATGGCAGAGGGAAAGACAGCGGAGGGAAAGACAGAAGAGGGAGAGACAGCGGAGGGAGAGACCGTGGAGGGGGGGTCAGCGGAGGGGGGGACAACGGAGGGGGGGACAGAAGAGAGGGAAACAGGAGAGCGGGAAATTGCAGAGGGTAAAACAACAGCGGAGGAAACAGGAGAAGGGAAAGCAACAGAGGGAGAAGCAGGAGAAGGAGCAAAGGAAGGCAATGTTGGGGAAGACAAATCCCATGAGGAGGAAGGCGTTAGCACAAGGCATTGGGAAAACGAGGATTTCACAAAGGAGTCGAATGGCGGGGGTGTGTTTGGAAGAAAAGGGTCAAGGGATGTGATATTGGGGGAGGAAGTGGTGTTGGAAGAGGAGGCGTTGAGGGAGGTGAGGGAGGCAGCATTAGGAGAGGAAGGTTTCAGTGGGGAGATTCTCAAACAGAAGCCGCCTGTGGTGTACCCAAGTGCAACGAGTGCTTCTGTTGCTGTTGCTGCTGGTTTTTCTCCTCCCCCGGTTACCCTTCCTCCTCCCGTTACCCTTCCTCCTGCTGCCGCTTCTGGCCATCTTCTGCTGCCTCCTCATCCTTCTCCACGTCCTCCTCCTCTTCCTGTCCCACAATCACCTCCGTCTGTTCCTCCTTCCATTCCTCGTCTCTCACGTTCTGCCCCGAGTTCACTTCCTTATCCGTCATCTCCTTCTCCTGCTCCACATCAGCCTCTTTCTACTCCTCTTCGTGTCTCTCCTCCTCTTCCTTCTCTTCCTCATCGGTCTCCTCCTCTTGCGTCTGCTTCTCTTCCTCCTCCGCTTCCATCTGCAACAACTATATCGCCTGCAGGGCCTATTCCGTTCGCCTCTAGCACCGCTAGCTCTAGTTCTGTTGCTTTGGGAGAGGCGGCAGCAACAGGAGGGGCAGCAGTCAGTAATTTTCCAACTGCCCAAAAAAGCGGAATGTTCACTGCTGCCCAAGCAACCGGGATCCTTGCCACTGCTGCAGATCAAGAAGCTATGGCATCCCACACAGCGCGACCAGTCAAGGCAGAATCAGACCTCTTGAATCTCCCTGCGTCCGATGTGTTGCAGTCAGACAGGTTTTGGGGTGATCTGGTTTATGGGCGAGTGGCAGGAGTTGCTCCTGTGGGCGTAGCGGCAGTGACTCCTGAGACGTCTCCAAACTCTCTTTCTGGGGCTGGGGCGTATGGGCGAGTGGCAGGAGGAGGTGCTCCTGTGGTTGTAGCGGCAGTGACGGCGGCTGCAGCTGTAGCGACCCATTTCAAACAAGGCCAACAGCAGTTGATGCACAATCAGCAGCAGCCTGTTTTTGAGGCGCCTCACAGATCGACCCATTTCGAGCAAGGGCAGCAGCAGTTGATGCACGATCAGCAGCAGCAGCAGCAGCCGCAACAGTTGGTGCTGCATCAAAAGCAGCAGCAGCTGGTGATATTGCATCAGAAACAGCAGCAGCAGCCGCATCAGCAGCATCGGCAGCACCTGGGAGGGCAACTGCTGCAGCAACAGGTGCTGCATCAACAGCAGAAGCAGCAACATCCGTCCCTGCAGTTGGTACAGCCACTTACTGCCCCTGTCGCTGCCCCTGCCCCTGCCCCTGTCCCTGTCATTGCCCCTCTCCCTGTCCCTGCCTCTCTTCCTATTCCTGCCGCTTTCTCTGCCCTTCTCCCTGCCCCACTCCCTGCCTTTTCCCAGCCGCCCACTTGCACGCGCTTGGTGCTCCCTCCAATGGCATGGCGCCCTTCATACTCCCCATTCACATCCCCACACCAGAAGACCCATTCACATCCCCCCCAGCACCTTTCACAACTGCCGCAGCAACAACCTCTGTCACACCCCCCCCAGCACCTTTCACAGCTGCCTCAATTCCAGCAACAGCCCATCCCACACTCCCCCAAACAAAAGCTTCTCTCTCACCTCTCCCAACAGAAAGCTGTTTTACATTCCCCTGAGCAGAAGGCTTCCCCGCAGCTCCTGCAGCAGCAGGTGCCTTTTGAACCGATTCCAACCGTTTTGTCACACCCCACACAGCAGCAAATGCCTTTCCAGTCAAGCACTGCTGCATCTGCCGTTTCGCACCCCACACAGCAGCATCAACTGCCCTGTCAGTCATTCCCCACCTCGTTTCCAGAGGCTCCCCAACAGATGCCCCTTAATTCGAATCCAAACGTTCTGCCAGAGCGCGAGCAGCAGCAGCAGCAGCAGCAGCAGCAGCAGCCGTGCCACTCATTTCCTGTGGTGGCAATTCAACAGCCCCCGCACCAGGTAGAGCAGCTACAGCAGGTGCCTCTTGAACGGATGTCGAATGCTGTATCCCTCCCCCCACAACAGCAGTTGCCATGTGTGGTGTTTCAACTGCCCCCGCAGCAAATAGAGCAGCCGCAGAGACTGCCTCTTGAACGGATGTCGAATGCTGTATCCCTCCCCCCGCAACAGCAGCAACCGCCGTGCCAGTCATTTCCTGTGGCGTTTCAGCAACCCCCGCATCGTATAGAGCAGCTACAAGTGCCACTTGAACGGATGTCGAATGCAGTATCCCACCCCACGCAGCAGCAGCAGCAGCAGCAGCAGCAGCAGCCGTGTGAGTCGTTTCCTGTGGTGTTCCAACAGGCCCCGCATCGTATAGAACAGCTACAGCAGGTGCCAGTTGATTTGATTGCGAAGGTCCTGTCACGGCGCATGCAGCAACAGCAACAGCTGGAGCAACAGCAACAGCAACAGCAACAGCAACAGCAACAGCAACAGCAACAGCAACAGCAACAGCAACAGCAACAGCAACAGCAACAGCAGCAGCAACAGCAACAGCAACAGCAACAGCAACAGCAACAGCAACCGCAGCAGCAACAGCAGCAACAGCAGCAGCAACAGCAACAGCAACAGCAACAGCAACAGCAACAGCAGTCTCAGCAGCAACAACAGCAACAGCAGCAGCGACAGCAACAGCAGCAGCAGCAGCAGCAACAGCATCAGCAGCAACAGCAGCAGCAGCTGCAGCAGCAACAGCTGCAACAACAGCAGCAGCAACAGCAGTCACAGCAGCAGCAACAGCAGCAACAGCAACAGCAGCAACAGCAGCAACAACAGCAACAGCAGCAGCAACAACAACAGCAGGAGCAACGGCAGCAGCCACACCAACGGCAGCAACAAGGTTTGGATTCCCAAGTCAGATCGCCTGCTTCTGTCAAAGTCGGTAGGCCGGTAGAGGGATCGATAGTATCACACCAGGTACAGTCACCTCCTGCTCTGCCTCTCTCCCCTCCGCAACTGCTCACCCGGTCAAGGAGAGAAGCCGCTGCTGCTGCTACTGCTGCTGCTGCTGCTGCCGCCGCATCAGGAGCAGCAGCACCAGCAGCAGCAGCAAGGGAAGCTGTAGCGGCTACAGCTTCTGTGGCAGAAGCAGGGAGGTCTGTAGCTGAAGTGAAGATAGAGAGAGTGAGCAAAAGAAGCATCAATACTTACAGTCGAATCCAGTCTCGCCCCCCCGCTATTGCTGACCTGGCATCACGTGATCACACATCGCTATCTGACGGCTCTGAGTCGGCTGCTGACGTGGCAGCTGACGTGGCAGCAGCTGCTGATGCCACATCAGCACGCCCGAGAGCGCGCTCTGCTGTGCCGCTACCTCCACGGGCCAAGCTTCCTCGGGCGGCAAAGTCGAACCGCGTCGGGACCGTTGAGCTCATCAGCGGTAGAGTGTCCACGTCAGCAGCTCACCTGCCAGCTCAGACCTCCGTTTCGCCAGCTCAGGCGTCGTCCTCGCCACCTCAGAGACGCTTGGGATTGAAGCAGGTGAATCTGAAGGAGAGAGTGAGGGTGGATAGGGCAGCAGAGGCTAGGGTTCGGGAGGTGGGAGTGAGATACGCTGCTGTAGCAGATGTGGGCTTCAGAAGTGGTGGTGCTGGGGGCGTTGGGGGAGGGGTTGTTGGTGTTGACGGTGTTGCGGGAGGGGGCGTTGGGGGGAGCGAAGTTGGGGGTGCTGGTGGTAGTGGTGGTGGGGTTTCTGGTGCCATGGCCACCACATATGTGGATGACTCTGCTGCTGGTGTTGGCACAGGCTTGAAAGGTGCCGATGTCACTGCTGTTGGTGATCATGGCACAGACGTTCAAGATGCAACCAATGCAGCAGCTGCTGCTGGTGGTGGTGGTGGCGGCAGTGGTGGTGGTGGGGGTGGTGGCGGTGGCACAGGCATTACAGGTGCTGATAACTGTGCTGATGTGGTTGCTGCTGCTGGTTGTGGTGGCGGTGGTGCTGGTGGTAGTGGCAATGCAAACATTACACCTGTGGATTCGGGCAGCACTGTTGTCAATGGTTTAGTAGGGTTACACAATGATGACTCTGTCAGAGGCCCGACTAGCGGTAATGTGGACAGTAGAAACTTCACTGGTGGTGGTGGTGACGGGGGTGTTAGAGACGTGAATGGTCGTGGCAGTGGTATCAGAGGCGCGGAGTTTTCTGGCCAAGGTATCAGAGACATGAGTTCTGCCGTCCAGGGCGTCACAGTCGTCAACTCTGTCAATGAGGGCGGTAGGGGTGCCGATTCTGCCATCCAGGAGGGTAGAGGCGCGGATTCTCGGGACTGGACAGGTGGGGATAGGCTGGGTGAAGTGAACGCTCTTGCGGCGCATGAAAAGGCAGATGTGAAGGCTTGGACAGGTGCGGGTAAGAGGACTGATGTGAAGCCTTTTGAGACACCTCAGGGAGCGGATTCTCTGGCCTGGACTGCAGCAGGTAAGTGGGCGGAGGTGCAATGGAGTGCTGAAGACGAGAGGTGTCTGCTTGCCGCTACTCAAGAGTTGGATGGAGATTTTGGGGGCGAATTGAGTGGTTTAGGAGAGGGTTTGGGAGAGGGTTTTGATGGGGATTTGGAAGGGTGTTTGGGTCAAGATTTAGGGGATTTTGGGTTTGGGGAGGCGGATTTTCTTGACTTGCCTTGGGCAGATGTGGTTGTTCCGGGTGTGGCTGTGGCGAATGGTGCCGCTGCTACAAGTGTGACTGAATTGCCAGGTACTGCTGCTTCTCATGATGTGACTATGGCACAGGAGGCTGTCACAGGTGTGACTGTATTAAATGTGACTGGAACGCAGGTTTCTGCTTCTCATGATGTGATTGTGGCACAGGGGGCTGTCACGGCTGCAGCTGCTGTGAATGTGACTCTAGCAGGTGTGGCTGTAGCACAGGGGGCAGATACAGATGTGACTGCTGTGAATGTGGCTGTAGCAGGTGCGGAGGGGGCACAGGGGGCTGCTAATGGTGCTGTGGCTGTGACTGTAACGGGTGTAACTTCAGAGGACCTTAGTTCAATGGCAGGGGCAGAAGCAGCAGGGGCAGAAACAGCAGGTGGGGAAGCAGCGGGGGCAGAAGCAGCAGGGAGAGAAGCAGGAGGGGAAGAAGCATCAGGGGGAGAAGCAGGAGGGGAAGAAGCAGCAGGGGGAGAAGCAGGAGGGGAAGAAGCAGGAGGGGAAGAAGCAGCAGGGGGAGAAGCAGGAAGGGAAGAAGCAGCAGGGGGAGAAGCAGCAGGGGGAGAAGCAGCAGGGGGACACCCCTCACCTGCTCAGGTGCCGTTTCAGGTGGATGTGGGTGGTCAAGTGGATAGTCAGGTGGGTGCGCAATCATTACGGGCTGCTTTGGGAAACAAACCTGATGCTTATGTTGTGCGCTCAGCTGTTTCTTCTGTTGTCGTTTCTGCTGCACCACTGGCACCTTTTGTCTCTTCTGTTCCACAGGTACCAGTTAATTCTTCCATGTTTGCAGCGTCACCTTTTGCTCCTGCCGAGTTCGCCCTAAATAATGACCCACACACAGTTGCCACCTCCCCCCAAACAGTTGTCACCCTCTCCCACGCAGTTGCCACCTCCCCGCATACAGTGGCCACCTCCCCCCATACAGTTACCACCTCCCCTCCCCCTAACATGGTTGCCTCCCCCAGTGCTGTAACTCTTCCCCTCTCTTCCCCCGACCCCCTCTCCCCCCAAGTCCCCCCTTCCCCCGCTCCCCCCACCCGAGTCCCCCCGCACTCTAGCCCCCCTTGGGCGCTTGTTGAGACAGCAGGGGCGCAGGGGGGCGGAGATGGGGCGCAGGGGGATAAAGATGCTGGGGAAGCGGGTGGGGATGCAGGGGGAATTAGTGGACGTGCAGGGGAGAACGGGGAAGAGTTTGGGAAAGAAACCGGGGGGTTGGAGGGAGAGGAAGCTGAGGAGAACGGGGAGAAGCGGGAAGTGCGTCAGGGGGAGGATGAGGAGAGGGAAGGGAAGGATGAGAAGGAAGAGGAAGAGGAAATGATAGGGGAGGAGCAAGACGAAGGGGAAGAGCAGAAGGGAGGGCATGGAGGAGAGGAGGAGGCGAGGAAGAGAGAGAGGGAAGAGGAGCAAGAGGAGGGGGGGAGGGACGAGGGGCAAAAGGAGGAAAGGAGAGTTATGGAGTTGACTGTACTAGGGGAAAGTAAGAGGGAGAAAGGGGCAGGAAGTGGGGAACGAGAGGGTGGTGTGGGAAGAGAGGACGAGGAGGAAGAAGTGGATGGAGAGGGGGAGGAGATAATGTGTATAACCGAGGATAAGGTGGAAGAGGTGGAAGAGGAGAAAGAGAAGGAGGAAGAAGAGGAAAAAGAGGAGGTTGAAGAGGAGGGACTAAATGTGGAGATGGAGGAGTTGGAGAAGAAGGAAGAGGAGAAGGAAGAGGGGGTGGAGGAGGAAGAGGAGAAAACGCAGGAAGAGGAAGAGGTTACTGACTTCGCATCAGCTGATGACATGGCTATTGCTGAGAATCGTGGTGATGACGTGGAGGCTCTAAACAGTGAGGATGATGACGTGGTGGATGTACCAATGGATCAGGAACAGGAGCAGCTGACGTGGCATCTTCCTGGGAATGTCAATCTAGGTGTTGCCACTAGTAGTAGTCATGCTGCTGCTGCGGGGAATGAAATTACTGCTGGTGAAGCAGGAGAGGGAGAAGCAGCAGAAAGGGTGGCCGCAGAACGAGAGGCAGCAGAAAGAGAGGCAGCAGAGAGAGAAGCAGCAGAAAGGGAGGCAGCAGAGAGAGAGGCAGCAGAAAGGGAGGCAGCAGAAAGAGAGGCAGCAGAGAGAGAAGCAGCAGAAAGGGAGGCAGCAGAGAGAGAAGCAGCAGAAAGGGAGGCAGCAGAGAGAGAAGCAGCAGAGAGGGAGGCAGCAGACAGAGAGGCAGCAGAGAGAGAGGCAGCAGAGAGGGAGGCAGCAGACAGTGAGGCAGCAGAGAGGGAGGCAGCAGAGAGGGAGGCAGCAGAGAGGGAGGCAGCAGAGAGGGAGGCAGCAGAGAGGGAGGCAGCAGAGAGGGAGGCAGCAGAGAGGGAGGCAGCAGAGGGAGAGGCAGCAGAGAGGGAGGCAGTAGAGAGGGAGGCAGCAGAGAGGGAGGCAGTAGAGAGAGAGGCAGCAGAAAGAGATGCAGCAGAGCGAGAGGCAGCAGGGAGAGAGGCAGCAAAGAGAGAGGCAGCAGAGAGAGAGGCAGCAGAGAGGGAGGCAGCAGACAGTGAGGCTGAAAAGAGAGCGGCAGCAGAGGAACGAGCAGGAGAAGAAGCAGAGACAGCAGAGGGGGAAGAGGCAGGAGAGGGGGCAGAGGGGGCAGGGAGGGCAGAGGGAGCAGAGGAGGCAGAGGTTGCAAAGGGGGCAGAACGGGGAGAGGGGACAGAGGCAGCAGAGGAGGCAGAGTCAACAGAAGAAGCAGCGGTAGCACAAGGGACAAATATGAGGGGTTCTGGGAAACAGGAGGCCGCCGTTTTTCTGTCTTTGCCTTTGCCAACTCCGGAATCCCACAAGGCACCTGGGACCTTTGACCAAAGATGCTCAGCAGCTGAGCCTACTCAACAGCAGGAATGCACGGCTTTTGTTGAGCCGACTCAACAGCAGGTTTCAGAATCTCAGTCTTACAAGCCGCCTGTGCTGCAAGTGCAGGCTGTAGAGTCGCACAAGCCACCTGTGACCTCTGGGCAACAGCAGGAATGCACGGCTTTTGTTGAGCCGACTCAACAGCTGGTTTCAGAATCTCAGTCTTACAAGCCGCCTGTGCTGCAAGTGCAGGCTGTAGAGTCGCACAAGCCACCTGTGACCTCTGGGCAACAGCAGGAATGCACGGCTTTTGTTGAGCCGACTCAACAGCTGGTTTCAGAATCTCAATCTCGCAGCAAGCCACCTGTGGCCGTTCAGCATGAGCAGGCATTCCCAGCTGTGGCAGCTGCTGCAGTCGGTTTTGATCCAGGTTACGGTGTTACCAACCAGATGTATCACCTGCAATCCGTGGCTCTGGGTAAGGGTAAAGAGGTGAAGCCGACTGCTGGTATGACACTCGGTGGGGCAGATGTTGCCAGCAGAGCAGTTGACGTGGCCAGCAGGGCAGCTGACGTGGCAGTATCTGAGGCTGACGTGGTTGACAGGGCAGGTGATGTGGCAGAAGCGGATGTTGCAGCAGGAGAGGCAGCAGAGGAAGGAAGCCTGTCTCCCTCTCTCTCCTCCTTCCCATCCCCATTCGCATGCTTTTCATCTTCTCCGCTCTCTTCTCACTCTCTCCCCTGCCCTCCGCTGCCCTCCCCGTCCTTCCCTTCTCCTAGCGCCTGTATAGAGATGTGGCCTGTTGCTCAAGGGGCTTTTGTTCCCTCTGCTCTCCCTTCTTCCCTTCCATCCTCTCTTCCATCCTCCCTTTCCTCCTTTCCGTCCACCCTCCCAGCCTCCTTTCCTTCCTCTGCTCCGTCCTCCTTCCCGTCTTCCCTTCCCTCCTCGCTCCCCTCCTCTCTCCCCTCTTCGCTCCCACCCTCGCTTCCCTCCTCTTTCCCCACCTCCTCCCCTACCGCCTCCCCTCCGTTCTCCCCGCCTCCCCTATCTCACACCCCTGTGGATGTTTTCTCGTTTTACAAAGCATGGGCACAGCGTAATGGCCCTGGCACTTACCTAAGTGCGAGCGCGGCAGTGGGGGAAATCCAGGGAACGGGAAGGGGAGTTGGGAAGGAAGCAGAGGAGGGGACAGCTGTTGGTAGTCAGATGAGAGCAAGGGAGAAGCAGGAGGAGGAGAAAGTTGAGAAGCAGGAGGAGGAGAAGGAGGAGAAGCAGGAGAAAGAAGAGGAGGAGAGGAAAGAGGAGAAGGAAGAGAAGGAGGAGCATGCGGAGGAGGAGGAGAAAGTGGAGGAGATGGTGGGGGGAAGAGATGGGCAGGCACAGCATAAGGTACATTCGGAGCAACAGGAGGAGGTAAAGACACAGGAGCAAGAGAAGTGGCAGGAGCGACAGGAGGAGGAGAAGGAGAAGGAGGAGCATGCGGAGGAGGAGGAGAAAGTGGAGGAGAGTGTGGGGGGAAGAGATGGGCAGACACAGCATAAGGTACATTCGGAGCAACAGGAGGAGGTAAAGACACAGGAGCAAGAGAAATGGCAGGAGCGACAGGAGGAGGAGAAGGTAGAGAAACAGGAGCAAGAGGAGCAGGAGAAGCGACAGGAGCGACAGGAGGAGGAGGTAGAGGAGCAGCAGCAGGTGGAGCAAGAGGAACGGAAGCAGCCGGTGCTGCAGGGGGAGGAGCAGGAGCAGCAGCAAGAGGGGCGGCAGGAGCAGGAAGGCCAAATGCTGCAGGAGAAGGAAGTGGAGCAGCGGCAGGGCGGAGAGGTGCGGCAGCACTGGGAGAAACAGCAGCAGAGACAGCAACAGAGGCAGGAGCAGCAGGAGAGGCAGGAGAAGCAGGAGGAACAGCAGATGCAGGAGGAACAGGAGCAGCAGCAAGGAGATGGGCAGCAACAGCAGCAGCAGCAGCAGGCTCAGGATGAGCAGGTTTTTGCAGCACAACAAGAGGAGGTGGGAGAAGAGGAGGCGGAGGAAGGGGAAGAGATGGAGGAGGAAGAGGAAGAGGAAGAGGAGGAGGCAGAAGTTCTAGACGTCGACTGGGTTGGATACGAGGAGGTGTGGGAGGGGAGGGGCGGCCGGACAAGTGTTAAGCAAGGGCGGGAGAGAGAGGAGGAGAGTGAGGGTGGGGATATAGACGAGGAAGGGGATGGAGGGGAAGGGGGAGGAGAGGAGGAGGAGGAGGAAGAGGAGGATGTGGCAAGTGATGTGACTGAAGCAGCTGCTTCGGATGAGGTGGACTGGGAGTCGTGCCATGCAGTGATGGATGCTTCTGTAATTGACTGTGAGCCGCCGCCGCCGCCGCCACAAGATGCTGCTGCTGTGGCCGCTGCCGCTGCCTCTGCTGCTGCTGTTGCTGTTGCTGTTGGTGGTGGCAATCCTGTGCATCTGCTCCTCCCGACTGCTGCTGGTCCTGCTGCCACCGCTGCTGCTGCGGCTGTCGGTGTAACTGAGAGTGCCGCTGCTGGTGTAACTGCTGGTGTTTCTGGTGCCATTACTGCGGCAGCTGCTGGCATGGTTGCGGCTGGTGTTACTGGTGCGGCTCCAAGTGAAGGGCTTATAGACGGTTCAGGGTTTATGGAGGGAGTGGGGTTTATGGAGGAACTAGGGGGTGCGTTTGAAGCTCCCAAGACCCCTCAAGCGGATGATGAGAGTGGTGAGGTGAGGGAGTGGAAGAGAGGGAAACACGGAGAGGAGGAGGAGGAGGATGAGGAGGAAAAGAGGGAGCAAGCAGAGGAACGTGAGGAGGTGGTTAAGGAAAGAAAGGAAGAAATTAGCTGGCATAGTGAAAGCGAGAACGTTTCTAAGGATGGTGTTGGGAAGGAATTTCAGGTGGCAGCAGTAATTGAAGGGGCTGCTGAGATAGCAACAGGAAACGTAGCAGCTGATATAGCAGTTAATGTGGCACCTGACGTGGCAGCTGATGTGGTAGCTGACGTGAATGCACACATGGCATTAAATGCAGAGGTGGATATTGAGGCAGAAATAGAAGCGGAAGCAGAGGGAGGAGCTGAAGCTAAAGTAGGTCCGGAGGCAGCAGAAACAGAAGCAGGAGCAGAATTGGAGGCAGAGTTAACAGCAAGAGAAGAAGAAATAGAAGCTGGAGTAGAAGGAGAAGCAGAAGCGGAAGTAGAAGGAGAAGCAGAAGCGGAAGTAGTAGCAGGAGAGACGTTGGGGTCAGAAGTAGGTGGAGAGGAGGCTTCAGAAACAGAAGCAGGAGGAGAGTTGGAGGCAGCGTTAATATGCCGAGCAGTAGAACTTGAAGCAGGAGCGGCGGTAGGGGAGGCAGTAGGTTCGGAGTTAGAGGAGGCAGTAGCTGCAGAAGCTGCAGAGTTACAGGCAAGAGCAAATTTTGAGTCAGAGGTAGCAGCAAGGGAAACAGAGTTCGAAGCAGGAACAGATGCTGCAACAGAAGTTGCAGCAGAAGCAGGAGCAGCGTGGGAAGAGCTTACAGCAGAAGCAGGGGAATTGGAAGCAGGAGCAGAGTTGGAAATAGAGATACCAGCGGTAGCAGTAGAGGTTGAAGAAGATGCGGAGATAGAGACGGATGCAGCTATTGAAGCAGGAGCAGCATTTGAGGCAGAGGTGTCAGCAGGAGCCGAAGCAGATATGGAATTGGAGAGAGAGGAGGGAGCAGAAGCAGAAGCAGAAGCAGAAGCAGAAGCAGAAGAAGTTGACTTGGCAGCAGACGAGGAAGCCATGCTGCAAGGAGAGGCTGGGGTGGAGGCAGAAGCACAAGCAGGAGGAGAAGAATATGAGTTTGCAGCAGATGTGGGGGCAGAAGTAAGAGCAGACGGAGAAGCTATGCTTGAGGGAGAGGCTGGGGTGGAGGCAGAGGGAGAAGCAGAGGGAGAGGCAGAGGAAGAAGCAGAAGCAGAGGAAATCGCAACAGCAGCAGGCGTAGCAGCTGGTGCGGAAGCAGAGACAGGGACAGAAGTTCAGGTAGCCGAAGAAGCTATGCTGCAGGAAGCGGCTGGGGTGGAGGTAGGAGCAGAAGCAGAGGCAGAGGGATGGAGACAGGCAGATATAGAGACAGAGACAGAGGCAGAGGGAGAGGCAGGGGCAGAAGGAGAGGCAGAGGCAGATGGAGAGGCAGAGATAGAGGCTGCGACAGGGGCAGGGGGAGAGGGAGAGGGAGAGGGAGAGGGAGAGGGAGAGGGAGAGGCAGAGGCAGAGGAAGAGGGAGAGGGAGAGGCAGAGGTAAAAGCGGAGGGAGAGGCAGAGGCAGATGGAGAGGCAGAAACAGAGGCAGAGGGAAAGGGAGAGGGAGTGGCAGAGATGATACGAGAAGCAGGTGATGGTACACGAGAAGCTGTTGGTATGGAGGCAGAGAGAGCAGAGGACATGGAGGTAGGAGGGGAGGAGGTAGAGGAAGCAGGAGAGGAAGCGGAGGGAGGAAGAGAGGAGGTGGAGGTAGGAGGAGAGGAGGTGGAGGTAGGAGGAGAGGAGGTGGAGGTAGGAGGAGAGGAGGTAGAGAGAGGAGAGGAAGTGGAGGTAGTAGGAGCGGAGGTAGAGGTAGTAGGAGCGGAGGTGGAGGTAGGAGAGGAGGTGGAGGTAGTAGGAGCGGAGGTGGAGGTAGTAGGAGCGGAGGTGGAGGTAGTAACAGAGGAGGTAGGAGGACAGGAGGTAGAGGGAGGAGCAGAGGAGGTAGAGACAGAGATAGAGGCTGAGGCAGAGACGGTGGTGTACATGGAAACAGGTGGCGGAAGAGGAGAAGCTGCTGGTATGGAGGCAGAGGGAGCAGAGGAGGTGGAGATAGGAGGAGAGGAAGTAGAGGGAGGAGGAGAGGAGGTAGGAGGAGAGAAGGTAGGAGGAGAGAAGGTTGCGACTCTTCATCCACCCAAAAGCGACTCCATTCTTACCACCCCCCTTCTTGCTGCCCTCCCCACTGCTCCTCCCTTGCCCCTTGTCATGTCACTGCCGCCTTCATCACCTGTGGCACCTGGGGTATCAGCGGTGGCTGTAGCTGCAGCAGCTACACTATCTGTAGCACCATCTGTAGCACAACAACCAGTGTCTCTGGCGTGTGTAGCAGCGGCCACAGGGCTGGACACAGCCCATGCACTGGTGGTGTCTCTTGCCCTGCAACGAGCTAAAGCCCGCGCTGCTGCTGCCGCTCCTGCTGTGGCCGCTGCAGCTACTGCTATTGCTGCTGCTGCTTCGGCTGCTGCTGCTTCTGTCGCTCCTGCTGCCGCTCTTGCTGCTGCTCCAGCTGCTGCTCATGCTCCTGCTTCTGGTGGTGGTGGTGCTGCTGCCCTTGCTGCTCCTGTTATTGCACCTTCCACTCTTGCTGCTGGTTTCCTCGGAAGGCCCGCAACAGCACAGGCCACGTCATCACCAACAATGGCATTACTGAGACTGCAACCACCACCACTAGCATCACCACCGCTAGCACCACTAGCAGCAGCACCACTGGCACCACCATCGCTAGCACCACCGCCACTAGCACCACGACCACCACCACCATCCCGATCACCATGGGGGGATGAGGAGCTGCCTCCAGGTGTGGACCGACCCTCGTCTTTTGAGGCGCCTCAGAAGTCGTCGCTGCCTCCGGGTGTGCAGAGACCCATGTCTCTTCAGGCGCCTCAAAAGTCATTGTTGCCTCTGCCTGCAGCAGCAGCAGCAGCAGCAGCAGCAGCAGCAACAGCAGCAGCAACAGCAGCAGCAGCAACAGCGGCAGCAGCAGCAAAACCGCTCATGGCTTGGGGTACTACTTCCTGTTCCTCTTCCTCCTCCTCTTCCTCCTCCGCCCCATCCTCCTCTTCCTCCTCGTTTTCCTCTTCCTGTTCGTCGTCGTCGTCGTCCTCCTCCTCATCCTCCTCATCAGCAGCAGCGGTATGTGTAGCAGCATGGTACGCCTGGGCTGGAGGTGCTAGCATGGGACGAGCCATTCCTGCTCTTGCTCCTCTGCCTGCTCCTGCCCATGCGCCGCTGCCTCCTCTTGCCCCTCTTCCTGCTCTTGCTCCTCTACCTTCAATTCCTCTAATGTCAGCTGTTGCTTCTCCTCCGCTCGCTGCTGCTCCTGCTGCAGCTGCTTCTTCTGCTCCTGGTGCTTCTTCTGTTCGTGCTGCTTCTTCTGCTCCTGCTGCTTCTTCTGTTCGTGCTGCTTCTTCTGCTCCTGTATCTGCTGCTGTTTTTCCTGCATCTATTGGTGGTTCTGGCCAAAAAAGTGTGGCATCAGTAGCAGTAGCAGCAGCAGCAGCAGCAGCAGCAGCGATGACAGCAGCAGCAACAGCACCAGCTACTGCGGCAGCTGGTACTTCTGGCTTGTTGTTGCCTCCGTTTGTCTCACAGGCAGAAGGCAACGATTCTTTGGCCAGGGTTATTGAGGCATATGCTGCTGCTAGCGCTGCCAACAGTAAGCATGCTGGATCAGCAGCTGTTTCCGAGGCGCCTCAGAAGTCGGCTTGTGCTGTTGGTGCTGCCAACAGTAAGCCTGCTGCCTGTGAGAATAGGAAAGGGATTAGCAGAGAGAATACAGTGTATGGGTTCAATGGAGGAGATTGGGAGGAGACGATGGGTGGGGCTTTCAAGCAGGGGAGGGGAGGAGCTGGGATCGGCGTTGAGGAAATGGAGGATGGTACCAGCATGCAGGCTGACTTGGAGGAGGTTCGTGTTGGGGAGGTTCATGTGGGGGAGGTTGTTGGATCACCTGAGGAGAAACATGAGGAGATTGGTTTCTACTTCCCTTATTCTGACAGCTCACCTGAACGCCCTGACAGCTCAGCTGACCATTCGGACAGCTCACTCGAAGGTCCTGACAGCTCATCGGAAGAATCCAACAGCTCACCTGGCAAGGCCCTCAGCGAGCCACCTGAACTTTCACCGGAGAAAGCACCTGAGCCACTTGCTGCCAAAACATTTGAGGCTCGTCAGGAAGCACCTGAGAGTTGCAAAACATCACGTGAGATTCAAATTGCCGATCTATTTGGGCCTTCACCTGAAGGTTCAATGGAAGGTGCCCCTGAAGATGCACATGAAGATTCACCTGAGTCAGGCTACTGGGCACCTGAAACAGCTGATCGGACATTTGAGGATGGGGGTGGTGCACCTGATGCCGATGCTGATGCTGATGCTGATGCCAAGGCTGATTCCAACACCAAGGCTGAGCCTTCACCTGAATTTTCACCTGAAGATGCTCCTGAGCTAGGTTACTGGGCACCTGAAACAGCTGATTTGACACCTGAGGATGGGGTTGTTGCATCTGATGCTGATGTTGCTGATGCCGATGCTGATGCTGATACTGCTACCGAGACTGCCGTTGATGCAGCTATTGCACCCAACACTGCTACTGCCGTTTCTGCTACTCCAGAGGATGCTGCTGCTGGTGCTTCTGCTGCTGCTGCTGGTGCTTCTGCTGCTGCTGCTGCCACCACTGTTGATGCTGCCACTGTTACTGAAAGCACTTCTGCGGCTGCTACCTCCGTCAATGCTGCCACAGCTACTGAAAGCACTTCTGTAGCTACTGACGCAATCACTTCTGCTGATGAAGACTCCGCAATTCACAATGCTGCTGCTACCACCGTCAATGCTGCCACTGCTACTGAAGATACTTCTGCTGCTACTGACAAGACCATTCCTCCTGCTGCTGCTGACACGATTACTCCTGCTGCTACTGACACGATAACTCCTGCCAATATTGATCCTGCTACGCACCATGCCCCTGCTACCACTGTTGATGCTTCCACAACGACTGACATCACTTTCGCTGCTACTGGCGCAGCTACTACTCCTGCTGATAATGCTGCTGCTACCCGCAATACTTTTGCCACCACCATTAGTGCTGCAACTGCAACAGAAGAAACTTCTGCTGCTACTGGTGCAACTATTCCTCCTGCTGATAATGCTCCTGCTATGCACAATGCCACTGACACCACCGCCAATGCTACCACTGCTGCTGAAAACACTTCTTCTGTTGCGACCGACACAGCCACTCTTGCTGATATTGATGCTCCTTCTACCGCCGCCAATGCCACTGCTGATAATACTTCTGCTGCTGCTGCTGCCGACACAGCCACTCCTGCTGATATTGATGCTCCTGCTGATAATGCTCCTGCTACTGCCACCACCGCCAATGCTACCACTGCTGCTGAAAATTCTTCTTCTGCTGCTACCGACACAGCCACTCCTGCTGATATTGATGCGCCTTCTACCGCCGCCAATGCCACTGCTGATAATACTTCTGCTGCTGCTGCTGCCGACACAGCCACTCCTGCTGATATTGATGCTCCTGCCGATAATGCTCCTGCTACCACCAAACCAGCCGCATCCTCTCATTTACCTCCTATGGGCATCATGACTTCTTCTCTTCCCCCATCTTCTTCCCCCCCATCTTCCCTCTGCCCATCTTCCCACCCTCCATCTTCCCACATCCAATCTTCCCTCCACCCATCTTCTCTTCCCCCTATAGGCGCAGTATCCCGCCTTCCCCCCATAGGCGCAGCTGCATCTCTCCCCCCCATAGGCGCAGCTGCATCTCTCCCCCCCATTGGCGCAGCAGCATCTCTTCCCCCCATCCTTCCCCACATGTCGCACTCTTTCCCCTTCAACCCCTTTCTCCCCTTTCCCCTTGGCCCCTTCCCTCCCCTTGGTTACAACTCGGGTTACCACCAGCTCTCTCCTGCTCAAATGCTCTTCCTTAACAGAACTGCTGGATTTGGAAACGTTTCTACTTTCGGAAATGCTCCCAATTGGGGAAATGCTGGGCCTGGTGCAGCTGGTGAGGGGAATCGTTTTTCTGGTGCTGCTGGTGCAACTGCCAGCTTTGGTGCTGCTGCTGCTGTTTCAGGATCCACTGCTCGCTCTGCTGCTGCTGCTGCTACACCTGCTGCTGTTTCTTCTGGTGCTGCTGCCACCACCGCCGCTGCTGCTGCTGCTGGCAGTGCAACCGTCCCAACCCCAGCTGCTGCTGCAGATTCGGAAGCCGCTGGGGCCAGAGCAAGAGTAGCTGCTGCCACAGGTGGTTCCCATGGGCTGGCTGGAAGAAACAGCGCTGCATGTGACAGCAGGGCTTCTAAAACGTATAGAGGATCCAGTCTTGGACGAAGTGGTGCTTCTGGGCTTGAGACGGCTTTTGAAGCGCCTTTTAAAACGTCTAGAGGAGCCGGTCGTGGGCGAATCTTTGCTTCTGGAAAGCCTGTAAACGCATTGCAGGGAGCGGTTGACAAGGAGTGGCAGGGCGGGGCTAGCAAGGAGTGGCAGGATGCCCCTCTGGTGTTTGGTCTGAACGTCATTCCGCCAGGGGCTGTTATGAAGGAGACGGGTGGTGCTGCAGCGGAGGCTGACAGAGAGGGTGGGGCGAAAGGACGGTCGTCTTTGGGTGAGGGAGAAACGGGAGAGGAGGAAGGGAAGGGGGAAGGCGGGGAGCGGGAAGGTGGGAAAGGGGCCGGTGGAAAGAGGGCAGATGAAAACGAGGCAGATGGTAAGGGGGCAGGTGCAAGGGGCACAGGAGAAAAAAGGGCAGGCGAGAAGGGGGCAGGAGAAAAAGGACCGGGAGAAAATGTAGCAGGTGGTGCAGGTGAAATTTTTGCTGGTAAAAAAGGGACAGGTGAAGAATGGGCAGGTGAAAAACGGGCAGGTGAAAAAGGGACTGGTGAAGAATGGGCAGGTGAAAAAGGGACTGGTGAAGAATGGGCAGGTGAAAAAGGGACAGGTGAAGAATGGGCAGGTGAAAAACGGGCAGGTGAAAAAGGGACAGGTGAAGAATGGGCAGGTGAAAAACGGGCAGGTGAAAAAGGGGGAAGTGAGCCTAAACTGGAAATGGTGCATCCTATCAAGCCTGCAAACCCAGATGCAGTTGATCCAGAAGCTTGCGTGGGTGTGTTTGAGATGACTCGAGTCAAAAAGGCAGATGAGGTGGAGAGTGTGCTGAACTCGCTGCTTGGGTATGAGACGGATGAGGAGGGTGACGAGGAAGAGGAGGTGGAGGAGGGAGGTATGGGGGAGGAAGGTAAGGGAGGGGAAGGAGAGGAAGGAGCAGGAGATCAAGCTGGTCCTGCTGCTGGTTCTGCTGCTGTTGTGGCTGCTGCTGCTGCTGCTGCTGCTGTTGGTGGTGCTGCTGCTGCTGCTATGTTTGTGGCGCCTAAAAAATCGGCAGTGGCAGCAACACCTGAGGTGGTTACTGCAGCTGCTACTGCTGTTGCTGTTGCTGTAGGCCCTGATAGCAGAACCCGGAGTGTGGGGAGGGAGGGAAAGAGGGAGAAGGCGAGTGAGGAGAGGGAGAGGGAGAGGGAGAGGGAGAGGGAGAGAGAGAGGGAGAAGGGGAGTGAGGGGAGGGAGGAGAGGGAGAAGGCGAGTCAGGGGAGGGAGAGAGAGAGGGAGAAGGGGAGTGAGGGGAGGGAGGAGAGGGAGAAGGCGAGTCAGGGGAGGGAGAGGGAGAGGGAGAAGGGGAGTGAGGGGAGGGAGAGGGAGAGGGTAAAGTTGGGTGAGGGGAGGGAGAGGGAGAAGGGGGGCGAGGGGAGGGAGAGGGAGAAGGGGAGTGAGGGGAGGGAGAGGGGGAATGTGAGTGCTGAGAGGGAGAGGGAGAAGCAGAGGGAAGGGAGCGAGAAGGAGAAGGGGAAGGAATGGAGGGAGGGGGAGAAGGGGGGTGACGGGAGGGATTGGAGGGAGAGGGAGAAGGGGAGAGATGGGTGGGAGAGGGAGAAAGTGAGTATTGGAAGGGAGAGGGAGAGGGAGAAGGGGAGAGAGGTGGATGGTGGAGAAGCTAGAGATAGAGGGAAGGTAGGAAGCGAGGGTGGTTTCAGAAGGCCAGCAGAGAGGGGGAGGGAGTTGGATGGAGGAGGAACGAGGGGTAGAGGAAATGTAGGAGGTGAGGGAGACGTTAGAAGGTCAGCAGAGAGGGGGAGGGAGTTGGTCTATGCAACAAGAACGAGGGGCAGCAGTAGTGTTGGGGGAGATCGAGATATTGGAAGGGAGACACGTGAACGAGATATGGGAAAGACAGCAATACAAGAACGTGAGAGGAGGAGGGATATGGATGTGACAAGAACGAGAGGCATCAATACAAGGGGCAGCAGTAGTGTGGGGGAAGGTCTAGATATGGGTAGGGAAGCGCGTGAACGAGACATGGGAAAGACGGTAGAGAGGAGGAGGGATGTTGATGTGACACGCATGAGGGGCAGCAGCAATACTATGAGGGAAAGAGGAGGCAGGGAAGAAGGTGTAAGGGAAAGAGGAGGTGGGGAAGGAGGAGTAAGGGAAAGAGGAGCAAAGGAGGTAGGAGGAAGGGGGGGAGGAGGAGGAGAAAGAGGAGGTGGGGAAAGAGGAAGAGGGGAAAGAGAAGGTGAGGAAAGAGGAGGAGGGCAAAGGGCAGGAGGGGAAAGAGGAGGAGGGGTAAGAGGAGGAGGAGAAACAGGAGATGAAAGGGGAGGTGGGGAAAGAGGAGGAGGAGAAACAGGAGAGGAAAGGGGAGGTGGGGAAAGAGGAGGAGGAGAAACAGGAGGGGAAAGGGGAGGTGGGGAAAGAGGAGGGGAAAGAGGAAGGGAAAGAGGAGGGAAAAAAGGAGGGGCAAAAGGAGGAGGGGAAACCCTCAGCAGCCACAAAGCAGATGGGGGGGAAAGAGTTGCAAGGGAAGGTAAGGAAGGAATGGAAAGAGGGGAAGACACAGCACGGGAACGAGGAGAAAAGGCCGATGTGAACAGAAGTGGAGGAGAAAGAGGGGCTGAGAAGGTGGAGGAGGAGGAGAGAGTGAAAAGTGAGAAGGGTGCTGCATTGGCAGAAGAGACAGGGAGGAAGGAGAAGGGTGGGGCCGGTGGGGCGAGTGGGGTTGGTGGGGCCAGTGGGGTCGGTGGGGCGAGTGGGGTTGGTGGGGCCAGTGGTGTGAGAAGAGGGAGAGGAGCAACAGGAGAGCGGGAAGAGGAGGAAGGTGGGGGTGGTAGTGTGAGAATAGGGAGTGGTGCAGCGGGAGAGGGGGGAAAGGAGAGAGGGGAAGGTAGGAAGAGTTTTGAATTGGCTGAAAAGAGGAGGAAGGAGGAGGATGGGGGGGGCAGTGGTGTGAGAAGAGGGAGTGGAGTAGCGGGAGAGGGGGAAAAGGAGAGAGGGGAAGGTCAAGAGCGATCTGGAGTGGTGCAAGGGACAGGGAGGGAAGGGGAGAGGGGGAAGGGTGGTGCGCAGAGAGAGAGTGGAATGGAAGGAGGAGATGGAGGAGAAGGAGGAGTAGGAAAGGAAGGGGGTGAGGGAGGAGGGGGAGGGGAACGTGAGAGTAAGGGTGGTAAGGATGGAAAGAGTGGCAGTAAAGCGAATGGCAAAGGCAGTGGTAACAACCGGGATGCTGGGGATGGTGGTGGTGGTGCTGCTGCTGGTGCTGGTGGTGGTAGTGGCAGGGGAGAGAAAGCGGGACAGGGAGTAGGATCGTCCAGAAAAGGAGGGATAGTTGGTGGTGGTGGTGGTGGTGGTGATGATGATGGTGGTGGTGATGATAATGCTAGGGATTGGGACCGGAAACGAGCTTTGGGGAGTGATAAGGGCAAGGGAGGGAGGAGGAAAGGGGAAGAGGAGGAGGAAGAGGGAGGGAGGGAGAAGAAGCGAAGGAAGGAGGAGGAGGAGAAGCGTGGGGAGGGGAGAGATGCGAAGAAAGGGGAGGAACAGGCGAGGCGAAATGCGGAAATAGTGAAGAGTGGGAAGGAGGTTAAGGGAGGTGGTGTGAGTGTGGGTCATCGGGGGGAGGAGAGGAGGGAGGAGAGGAGGGTTGAGAGGAGGGATGAAAAGAAAGAGGAAAGTGGAAGGGGTGATAGGAGAAAGGAGGAGGATAAGAGAAGGGAAGAGGATAGGAGAAGGGAAGAGGATAGAAGACGGGAAGAGGATAGGAGAAGGGAGGAGGATGGGAGAAGGGTCGAAAAGGGGATACGAAGGGAGGAGGATAAGGGGAAAAAGGAGGAGGATAAGGGAAGGAGTAGGGAGGACGAGGAGAGAAAGAGAAAGCAAGAGGAAGGGAGAAGGGCGGAGGAACGGAGAAGGGAGGAGGAAAGGAGAAGGGGTGAGGAACGGAGAAGGGAGGAGGAAAGGAGAAGGGATGTGGTTAGTAAGCAGGAGAAGAAAGAGGAGAAGAGGGAGGTTAGGAAGGAGGAGAGGAAGGATGAGAGGAAGGATGAGAGGAAAGAGGAGAAGAGGGAGAAACAGGAGGGGGAAAGTAGAATTGGGCCGAAAAAAGAGAAAGGTGGAGAGAAGGAGGGGTGGAAAGAAGTGGAGAAGGAGCAGGAGGAGAAGAGAGGACGAGGGGGTGGGAAGGAGCATGAGCAGAAGAGGGAAAGAAGAGGCACGGATCATGATACAAACGAGAGGAAGGAGGAGAGGAGGGAGAAGGAGAAGGGAGAGACGGAGAGGAGGGAGAGAGAAAGGGGAGAGAAGGAAAGGAAGGAGAGGGAAAGGGGAGAGAGGGAGAGGAGGGAGAAGAGGGAAAGGGAAGAGAAGGAGAGGAGGGAGAAGGAGAGGGGAGATATGGAGAGGAAGGGGGAGGAGAGGGGGATAAAAAGGAGGAGTGAGCAGGAGACGAGAGGGGAGGTGAGTCAAGACCAGGGGGGAGAGAATGAGAGTACAGAAAAGGAGAGGAGAGAGAGGGAGGGGAGCGAAAAGGAAGCGAAAACAGAAAATGATGGCAGAGGAGAAAAGGAGGAGAGGAGAGAAGCAGTGGAGAGGGGAAAAGGTGCGGAAAGTAATGACAAAGAGACCAGGAGAGAAAGGGATGCTAGGGGAACGGATAAGCATGACAATAAGAAGATGCGTGACGAGAGTAAGACGCATGATGATGGGAAGAAGGAAGAGGGTAGGGAGGATGGGAGGGGTGGTGTTGTGAGAAAAGGGAAGAAGGAAGAGGGTAGGGAGGATGGGAGGGATGGTGTTGTGAGAAAAGGGAAGAAGGAAGAGGGTAGGGAGGATGGGAGGGGTGGTTTTGTGAGAAAAGGGAAGAAGGAAGAGGGTAGGGAGGATGGGAGGGATGGTGTTGTGAGAAAAGGGAAGAAGGAAGAGGGTAGGGAGGATGGGAGGGATGAAAAGCTTGGGCGAGTTTCTGAGACTCGTAAAGAAATGGAGGAGAGGGATGTGGGAAAGGAGGTAGGAAGGGATGTGGGCAAAGGGGGTGGAGGGCATGGGAAGCGGCAAAGGGAGCGTGAGTGCAGTGAGGAGGAAACTTCCAGTGATAGTGATTCTAGTGAGAGTGATTCTAGTGAGGATAGTTCTCAGGAGGGGGGATTGAAGAAGAGGAGGCCAAGTGGCAGAAAGAAGGAGGACAGGAGAGGAAAACGGGTGAAGGGGAAGGGGAAAGGGAAGGTGAAGGGGAAGAAGGAAAAGGATAAGGAAAAGGAAAAGGGGAAGAAGAAATCGGGGAGGGAAAAGGAGGGGGGTGAGGAGGGAAAGGCAGGGAAAGCAACAAAGAAGGAGGTGAAGGAGGAAGAGGAGGAGGAGGAAGCGGAGGGCATGAGTATGGAGTTGATGGTCTTAACAGAGAAGAGGAAGAAATGGCGGCAGGACTGGAGAGAGATGAAGGTAGTTGCAAGGGAGAACGAGAGGGAGCGAGAGAAGGACAGGCAGAACGAGAGAGAGAATGAAAGGGAGAGAACGGAAGCTGGTACTGCTGCAGCGGCAGCGGCAGCGGCGGCGACGGCGGCGGCGGCTGGTGCACCTGCGTTCCCTGTTACCCTCCCTGTTACCCTCCCTGTTACCCTCCCTGTAAGCCCTTCCTTCCCTCCGTCTACCCTCCACTCACTTGTCTCTCCCCCACACACAACAGCCCATATCCCAGGCCCTCCTTTCCCTGGTGGGGTTGCTTTTTCCAGTGGCAGTGGTGGTCTGTTGCACACCCCTGGTGTTCCAACCCCCCTTGTTGCACCGCATCATACCCATGCCAACCCCCTTGCACCGCATCAAACACACACCAACCCATTGGTAGCACACCACGCACTGCTGCAAGCCCTGCGTGCTGCTCCCCGCCCCCTACAATCTGGCGGGGCGGCAAGTGGTTTCAATATAGGCACAGGTGGCATGGGCATGAGTGGCATGAGTGGCATGAGTGGCATGAGTGGCATGAGTGGCATGAGTGGCATGAGTGGCATGAGTGGCATGGGTGGCATGAGTGGCATGGGTGGCATGAGTGGCATGAGTGGCATGGGTGGCATGAGTGGCATGGGTGGCATGAGTGGCATGGGTGGCATGAGTGGCATGAGTGGCATGGGCTTGAATGTGGGTGGGTTGGGTACTGGTGCGCCTATGGCTCAGTTTGCTGCTGCGGCTGCTGCTGCTCGAGCTATTGTGAATGCCAAGGCAATTGCTGCTAGAGCCGGTGCTACCGCCGGTGCTGCTGCTGGTGGTGCTGCTGGTACCGGTGGTATTGGTGGTGATGCTTTAGCAGCCGCCGCTGCCGCCGCTGCTGCTTTAGCTGCTGGTGCTGGCATTGGTGCTGGTGGTGCTGTTGGGGGTGGTGGTGCTGCTGCTCCTGCTGCTCTCGCTGCTGTGCCCTCAGCTGCTGCTGCGGCCCAAGCTGCTATGGCTGCTGCTTCGGCTGCTGCTCTTGCTGTGGAGCGTAGACTCGGCCTACCCTCTTCTTCTGCCGAAGCTGCTTCTTCCGGAACCTCCGCTGTTGGTCCGGCCGAGCCTGGGACTGGCTCTAATGGTCTGGGTACAGGTGGTGGGGTGGAGGGGCATGAGGGGGAGGGAGTGGGGGAGGGAGATGGGGAAGAGGAGGGGGAGGGGAGGGAGGGGAAGAAGAGGGTACAGTTTTCAGATGAGATGGAGGGAGGAGAGGGAGGGGAGGGTGGGGTGGGAGAGGAGGAGTGGGAGGAGAAGGAAGGGGATGAGGAGGAAGAGGGAGAGGAGGGGGAACGGAGGAGGGTGAGGAGGAAAAAGAAGGGAGTAGTGATCGACGATCGATATCTGGTGGATGTGAAGGACGTGAAGAACAGGTGAGAGCTGATTGAATTGGAACTGAACTGATTGCTTGATAAGGAAGGCACTAGGCCTTAAGTACAAACAGGGTTGGGTTGAGCAAAGCTAGGGAAAGGATGGGATGGGAATCCTAGCAAATCTCCAATTGGTGAGTTGGCAGATTTGCAGGATTACGAGGGAATCCCAACCAGATAGGGTTGGGATTACAAATCTACACCCAACCTACAAAGTAACCTAACCGATATAGAATATAGTACAAAGTGTTGACTGACTATTTCTAACAAGAGCAGCCGTTCTAGTGCTAAAGTAAGCATTATTCAGGTAGAGGCAAGGGGCAGAGGAACAGGGAGTGGTGATTGACGATCGATATCTGGTGGATGTGAAGGATGTGAAGAACAGGTGAGAGCAGCCGCTCTAGTTTGATAGAAAGTGTTTATTACGTAGAGGCAAGAGGAACAAGGGAGTGGTGATTGACGATCGGTATTTGGTGGATGTGCAAGACATGAAGAACAGGTGAGCAATCGTAGAAGGACAGGGCAAAAGGGCAAGAGGAAGAAGAAGGGAGTGGTGATTGAGGATAGACGCCTGTGGGTGTGCAAGGGACGCGAAGAACAACCGCTGCATTTTATCGCTCGCCACTCTTCACACCCACCTCCTCCTAGCTACCCTTGCTCTTCCTCTCCTTGCAGTGTAAAAAGAAGAAGTCGAGGTGGTGCGCAGCAGGAGCAGTTTTAACCGCCTCTCCCCTTTCTCGTTTTTATGATTACCTTGTCTCTCTTCTCCTGTCCTCTCCTCATTCCCCACCTGCAGTGTAAAGGAAGCTATCAAAGCCATGCGCAGCAAGAGCAGCATCAACCGGCGGGTAGCTTCGATGACCACACTGGGCGTGTCACAGCCAGCAGCTAGAGCAGCAGAGCAGTCAGCACTCTCTTACTCCTTCCTCTTCCCATACCTCCCTCTTCTTCCCCTCTCATCTACCCACCTGCAGTGTACAGGAAGCAATCAAAGCCATGTGCTGCAAGAGCAGCATCAACCGCCGCGTAGCTTCGATGACCACGCTGGCCATATCGGAACCAGCAGCCAGGGCAGCGGAGCAGTCATAGCTCTCTTACTCCTTCCTCTTCTGATACCTCTTCCTTCTCCCCCTCTCATAACTCGCAGTGTGAAGGAAGCAATAAAAGCAATGCGCAGCAAGAGCAGCATCAACCGGCGGGTAGCTTCGATGACCACACTGGGCGTGTCAGGGCCAGCAGCTAGAGCAGCGGAGCAGTCAGCACTGGCAGCCAAGCGGGAGAAAGAGAGGGCTCAGCTGGAGCTGAGGAGGAAGTACTATGGGCTGCCTTGATCTGGAATGTAGGGCCTTGTTGTGGGTTGGAGCAGCATTAGCCGCTGTGTCGCATCCCTCATGAGTCACCACACAGGGCGTGTCAGGGCCAGCAGCTAGAGCAGCGGAGCAGTCAGCTCTGGCAGCCAAGAGGGAGAGGGAGAGAGCGCAGCTGGAATTGAGGAGAAAATACTATGGGCTGTCTTGATCCAGAATGTAGGGCCTTGTGGGTTGGAGCAGCATCAACCGCTGCATGTTGCCTCCCTGAACACACTGGGCGTGTCAGGGCCAGCAGCCAGGGCAGCAGAGCAGTCAGCACTGGCAGCCAAGAGGGAGAGGGAGAGAGCGCAGCTGGAGCTGCGGAGGAAGTACTATGGGCTGCCTTTAGGGTGTTGTGGGTTGGAGCAGCATCAACCAGCTGGTTGCATCCCTCGCCACAATGAGCATATCACAGCCAGCAGCCAGGGCAGCGGAGCAATCGGCTCTGGCAGCCAAGAGGGAGAGGGAGAGAGCGCAGCTGGAGCTGAGGAGGAAATACTACGGGCTGCCGTGAACAGGAGATGTGGTGGTGCTTCTATCCCTGTGCCCCTATTTTGGAGGGTGGCGGTTGGTATGGGCCAGCAGCCAGGGCAGCGGAGCAGTCAGCACTGGCGGCCAAGACGGAGAGGGAGAGAGCTCAGCTGGACTGAGGAGGAAGTACTATGGGCTGCCTTGATCCGGAATGTAGGTCCTTGTGGGTTAGAGCAGCGGCAACAAAGCTGTTAGCCCGTAGGGACAAGTTAGCCTAGGGACACAATAGAGCTCTCGATGAAGCTTAGATATAAAACAAGAAACTTCAATCACTGGTATGGGTGGGATGATGCAACAACACAAAATAGTGTATCAACCCTTTGCAATGTGTTTGCTTGCATTTTAGTAGAATGAGTCAAGCTAAAAAAAAACAAAAAAAAACAAAAAAAAACGTAAAAAAAATAACCTGGGCCTTTTAAAAAGCACTCTGAAATTTACATTTCGCTTATAATCGAGGAGCGCATATAAGCGGAGTGCTCCGTTACGGGTACAAGTACGGAACATGTGGCAGCTGACCAGCTGCTCAACTGGCGGGGTGCCCCCTTTCCCACCACCCACCAATGGCGTTGTTCTGCAGCCACACTTTCCTTGATGGAACGGAAAGTAGGGAACTGCCAAGCTTTTTTATTTTAGGTTTGGTGAGACGGTCAGCTTTAAAATTGGTGTCGAACTGGCCACTTACCGTCCGAACCACTGTGAAGGGAAGTGCTGCAAAACGCTACATTTCCATCACGGAAATGAAAAGTAGGAAGCTACATACCCACCTTCTCTCACAGGCAACCCCAAATGCTCTCGCCTACCCACTCGCATACCACCCTTTGGGTGTGTTGAATTGAGAAAGTCCTTCGGATCTTTTAGAGTTTAGTCTCTATAAAGTACCGTGATCTCCCAGTTACAAGACCCCCCCGCATAAAAGCCCCGTGGGTCTTCTATCCGGACCAGGGGTCTTTTATTATGTCATTCCTGGAGAGGACCCACCTTTTGACCCAATTCATTAGAAGACCCCCCCTCTTTTGCATGGGTGGTGTTTAACCGGTGAGCTGCTTAGCAAGTCACAAGAAAAAAAAAAAAACCAAATTCACGTTATGGGGCGAATTCGTGGTCAATGGAGTCATGATGCCACATCGATCATGAACTTTTGCCGCCCGTCACGCGAGAAATGCTGAGGTAGCTGTCACAATTGGGCATTACAGGTGTGAGAATTGTACGAGGAAATGGTGTGGACTAGAAAGGAGATGGGTACAAGTATGAAAACCTAGAAAAGATGTACCCCATAATGTCTACCCGACTACAGCCTACACAGGCTATATCATATATGTTTGACACACCCGCATAGGTAAAGTGGGGGAGAACAAGATGTCAAAAGACCAGTCAAGCAAAGCAAAGCAAGCATAGGGTGGATCACGACGTCACCACACATTCAGAGCACAAGCACAAGGCCACAAGGCCAGTTCACATGCAGAGTTATATATCAAGGTGAACAAGCAAGGCAGTGATCTAAACCTAGCAAGGGTAAGCATGCAGGTGCTGGTATATATAGATCACAGTACAAGCAAAGTCAAGAAGTGAGCAAGTGAGGCCAAGTAGGCACAAGACCTAGCATAGTACAAAAGCGCTGATGATCACAAGGCTGAAGTGCCTTGGTAAAGATATCAGCAGTGTTGGCCCGAGTGGCCACGTAAGCAAGACGAAGCTGACCACGCTACTGCAACTCTCGAGCAAGGAAGTAGCGCAGAGCAATGTGCTTCGTTCTGTGCTCCAGTCTGTGCTCCTGACACAAGGCCAGCATGGCCTTGTTGTCGACGTACAGAACTGGAGGAGAACGAGGCGCCTCTCCCAAGTTGGACAACAGGTAGGTGAGCCAGCGTAACTCCTGTGCAGCCATGGCCCCGGCGTAGATCTCAGCCTCACAACTGGAGCTGAGAACAGAAGACGAGCGGGTAGACCGCCACGAAACAGAGCCGGAACCAAGGCTGAAGGTGTAACCCTGTGACGACCGCTGCGTAGCCAAGTCATCAACCCAAGAAGCGTCTGCGTGACCAGTGAGGACAACTCGAGCCCGTCCTCCAAGCACGAGCCCCATGCCCGACGTACTGCACAGGTAGCGCAACACCCTCTTAGCTGCATGCATGTGCTCTGGTCGGTGTCTCCCAGGAGCAACATAGCGTGCCAAGATGCGAAGAGGGTATGCCAGGTCAGGTCGAGTGCAGGTCATCAGGTACATGAGGCAGCCGACAAGCTCTGGGTACGGGCCACTCGGCTCTACGGACTCATCCGAAGGCAGAGCTGAGAGTGAGTGGCGAGTAAACAGAAGAGTGGCCTGAGGCGAGGAGTACGTGAAGTTGAAGCGCTGAAGGACCTGCTGCACCATGTGTGACTGAGTCAAGGTAATGGTGCGGCGTGCTCTGTCCTGGGTGATCTGCAAGCCAAGATAGCTGCGCAGCTCACCCAGGTTAGTGCAGGTGTGTCTCTTCTGCAGCTCCGACTTCACGTGGGCCAGTCCAGTAGTGTCAGCAGTAGCAAAGACCAAGTCGTCGACGTACACGAGGATGTAGAACGGCGGCAGAGTAGTGTCGGTGCGGAGAAACAGCGACGGGTCAGCAGTGGAAGGAGCAAACCCAAGAGCTGCAAGCGTAGTCCTCAGTGTGTCGTGCCACTCACGGGGCGCCTGGCGGAGAACGTAGACTGGCCGCCGGAGGCTCCACTAGGTACCTGCAGGAAACGACCCAGTGAAGCCAGGTGGGCGGCGCAGCCAGAACTCCTCGTGCAGGCTGCCCTGTAGGAAGGCTGTGCTGAAGTCAAGAGAGTGCAGCTCGTAGTCACGCTGAGCAGCGACGTGCAGCAGAACCCGAAGAGTGGTCATCTTCGGGGTGGGGGAAAAGGTCTGGAAGTAGTCAACCCCCTGTTGCTGACTGAAGCCTCGAGCCACGTAACGCGCCTTGAAGACGGGTGGAGAACCCGGCGGCCGCTTCACCCTGAAAATCCACATGCCATCGACAATGTTCGCCCCAGGTGGAGGAACCTCGTCGGCGTAGGTGCCTGTGGACTTCCAGGAAGCCATCTCTGCGTCCATGGCTGTCTGCCACTGAGAGGAGTAGGGACCCTCTATCGCCTCTGCGTAAGAGCGCGGGGTCGGGATGTCTGGTGCATCCGGGTCTCCCTCAGGGGCAAGCAGCATGGATACGAGATGAGGTAAAGCAGCAGCAAAACACTGGAACTCCTCCTGCCTGTCCTCAAGGGCGTCTGTGTTAAGAGCACACTCACCCCCGACGGACGGAGGACAGACAGACGCTGACTCGGCAACAAGACTAGCGGCGTAGTCTAGACCACAGTGAGCAGCAAAGTCGACAAGCTCAGCAACTAAGGCAAGCGCAGAAGTGGACTCAAAGGAAGGGTCAGTGACAACAGTGGCCAGGAGACGCGTGACAATAGGACTAGCAGTACGAAGGGAGTCAGACTCCGGGTCAGCAAGTGCAGGAAGAGAGGACTCAGGAGGAGACAGCAGAGGGACAAGCTGCGGAGCAGTGGAAGGACGCAGAGCCATCTGGTGTGTGCCAGGGACAGGAGGAGGACGCTGACGCGAACCACGACGACCAGTGCGAGCAGCACGAACAGGCGACGCAGGACGAGACTCAGGCTCACGACGCTCTGTAAGACCTCCTGTCGGACCAGTGTAAGGAGAAGGAGCAGGCAGTGGGGAGGCCGGCTGTAACTGTGACTCGAACTGGACAGGCTGTGGACACTCTAAGGAAGGAGCAGGACCAGTAGAAGGCGGGAGACCAAGAACCTGCTCAAGGAGCGGAACGAAGTACTGCCGCGGCCGCGCAGCGCCTCCAGAACCAGCAAGAACAGCACCAGTACCCTCAGCGTTAGCTCCAACTCTAGTGGCACCACCAGCTCCACCAGCACCTCGAGCAGCTCCAGTAGCGCCAACTCCAGCACCCCCAGGAGCACCGGCTCCAGCAGCACCTCCAGCTCCAGCACCTCCAGCTCCAGCACCTACTGCTGCTGCTCCTGCTGTCATGGCTAGCCCTACTGTCCTTGCCTTTGATGCTGAGGGTCGAGCGGCCGATTTTGAGGTCTGGGTCGATGATCTGCAGCTTTTTTCTGCAGTGTGACTCTAAGGACGGAGTCTCACTGTTCGACCACACGTCCGGCGTCGCTGTTGCCCCTGCTGCCGATGCTGACAGTACAGTTCGCTCACAGTGGACCATACGCGATGCTGCTGCTCGTCTAGCTTTCCGTAGTCACCTGCCGGCTGCTCCAGAACCTCCAGGACCACTATTTTGTGTGAATTATAAATGTCCAGGGGTCTTATGCACTCTATGCCATCAGAGAAGACCCTACAACCCATTTTGAGCACATTTAGGATAAGACCCCCGGATCTTCTAGGCGGGAGATTATGGTATTGCAGCGGAATACTTGAATTCCTGTGCTGGTAAATTGTGAGA